ACAATAGAAAGGTGGGTTCACATCTGTGTTTCATTTCCTGTTTTTCTCTCTTTCTCTCTTTTTGGGAGGGACGTTTGGTTTTCAACTAACAAATTGTTGAGGTGATTTTCTGAAGGTCAAGGGTAATTTTATCAGTTTAGCTGTTTGGTTTTTCACAAGAGCATTTCTTTTTTTCCCTTTCACTTTCGTTCAAAGTTTCATTAGTTTTGAGTTGTAGACATTTATTTAATTTTATTTTATAGTTTATAATTTCTAATTGTAGATATAAGTTTATTTTTTTCAGATTCTTAATTATTTTCCAAATGGATCAGCGAGGGCTGACCGTTTTTGAAGCACTGCAAGTGCTACATGAATTGCCTTCAGATGGTGAACCTGATACCGATCCGGGTACATGTGCAAAACGTGCAATATTGGGTTGTGCTTTTCCAAGGCTGGTGTCACTTTCTTTGAAAAGTACCACCATGAAAAAAATAGACTAAAGTGTAAATATGAAATGTAAATACCCAAGTTACTTTTTTTCCATTCATATGCATGTAATCATCATATAACCAAAAAAGAGCTTTTGGGGGGGTTAGAGTAGCAGGTCTCCTCGTGGCACACCCTGAGTAATGCTAAATCTGCTACGGTATTCAGAATCTAGTGTTTTTTAATTGTAGGCAAAATCTTTTACGCGCTTCCCAGCAATCCTCTTTTCGAAGCTCTGTTCAATCAATGTGCCCACAGAATTTAAACTATAAGCGCTATCTTCACAAAATTTTACTTGTGTACTCCTCTATACCTAATTAGATAGCTTACCTTTTTTTTTATCGAAATTCCAACTTTAAAAGGTAGCATGCTGGAAAGGGTTAATCCAAAGAAGTGGATTCAGAGTTCATATTCAAGGAGGAAAACATACATCTATACCATTCTCTGATCAAAAATTTTCTTTAAATTGAGAATACTCGATGATTGTAGTGATCATAAAAAAATTATATAAGTGTCCAGCAGAGCTGGTGCGACTAATGCCTTTAAACAAGAAGGCAGAATTTAGAAGTGGTAAAATTTTTAGAAGTAATTGAGCAGTAGAATTTTATTTACAGATTTTGCACTGGACAGTAGACTGTTTAGCACTAGCTTTGGTATCCAGATATGATCCCATTCAACATGAAAAGGGTACAATGCAAATGGGAATTTCAGCAGCTAATCAGGAGCATTCACTCTCTTTTTCATAAAGCTAGCAAAACAACACCAAACCAATTCCAGAGCTGAAAGTAGCTGTACCATTAAAATGGTACTTTTTGCTCAAGCAGCTTAATAAGAAACTCATAGAAATAATTAATTGTTGATTTTAAGTTTGTGTGGCTGTACATGATGATCATATCCCTAATTAAAATGTGTGTAACAATGTATTTTTTGCATGAAATGAAAATTCCATTTGATTTCATTTTTTAAAAGTTATAAGTCTTCCTTAATGTTTATTTTTACCATTGTTATTTTAATTGTTGTAATTTGCATAACTGCATTTACAAGTACATCAAGTTGTCTTCTGGCATTTGGCTTGTAAAACGTTCATAACTGTCTATAGAGATTATCGTAATTGCGGTCACCAGTGTCTATTGTGTGATTCCATATGCGAGTCTTAATGTATACTTTAATTGTTGATACATTTTCTTTTCATGCTGCAGTACCCTAAAGGCTGTGGTAAGTGTATATAGTTTTTTGGGAAGGCTTATTCATAACTTTTTTCCCTAATAATTCAAATATTGTTTTTCAAAATTTATTTAAATTATTACTAGTATTTAAATCTTTTAATTTTTTCAGAGTGATTGCTACCACGTGTGCTAACTTCTGGGACAGATAAGTGTAAGACAAACTAAGTTATGATAGTAATGCAAGGTCAGAAAAGCAATCATAATACTATTGAGGAAGCTGTGGAGAACCAGAAAAACATCTGCATGAAAAACCATTATTTGGCAGTCACCCGCAGAAATAGTAGAAGGATTTCATAAATATGGAGTTGGTGAAAATGTGTTTAGCATCGGAGCTTATGATAGCAATGGGTGGGTTACTATGCACCTGTACCAAAAGTGTTACTCCAATAAACCATATTCTGAAACCAGACATTTATATGACTTCGTTAGAGATTATGTGAAGTGTGTTCCATCAAAAGTTGATCCATGAAAGGGGGATGAACCATGTGAACTCCGGAAATCGAAGAGATTGTGTTTCATCATGCTGAAGGCACTTTATATGCCAGTACATAAGCAATCACTACTAAGTTTGGTCTTCCGAAAACCACCTCGGGGATCCATAACTCTAAGCAGTTGGAGCCATACCACAAGTAGCGATTACAGCCATTACAACCTGATTATCCATAGAAGGTTGCACTTGCTTTATGGTATCTGCAGAAGAATACAATGATGGATTCCCTTTTCCAGCTTCCATCTTACGTAGATCAGGCATACTTCACCAGGTAAGGTCGGTGTACTAATAACTTGCATGTATGGGTGGTGGAGAACTGCCATGCTGCGCAAGCATGTGCTTTCATGTTGATGTAGCATTAGTGTTATTGTGGGAGCCTGCATAAAAGCCCATCCTCTCGCTTGTTCATTTGCATGGATGGTGTTAAAATTTTTTTCTTTTTTGAGGAAGTGTTGTCTAAATTGTTAAATAAACAGACCAACAGATCCAGCTATCCTTGCACCATAATGGGAGCCTCACCGCATTTCAACTGTGACGTTCAGAAGCACTTGAATCTGATATTTGGATAACAGTGCATCATACATGATGATCCCATTCATTCATCTTTCATGATAACAATTGTTTCTTTTATTTTCCCTGGGATCACATGAAAGATATCATTGTCCGTGGGTATATCAAAATCTTCCTTGCTATCCATGGGTGTGTGGTATAAAACGATACATCCATGGACAGTGAAGAGTATTTTATCACCCTCATCTGCATATTTTCCCTGGCTGTCTGAAAGAATATTTCAGAATATTCATAGTTCCTTAGGCTACCAGTGTTAGTCTTGTGTTGCATATGCTGGCTGAAACTTTGAACACCTCCTGTGACTTCTTTAAATATCATAATAGCTCCATCTCATTGAATAAAATAATATTCTTCGCTTATCTGCCAATCCTTCATTTTACATGTTCTCTGCACACTTGCACATTTCCAACTTTGGATTGTTATCAGTGCTTGATTTATCTTTGAATGTCATACACTTCCTAGAAGTTTGTATATGTGGTAGGAAATCATACTGTTTGCAATATTCTCTCGTTTAGCAACTTTATGATTTCATAATAAAATTTTAACTTTTGGAAAACAATTGGAGCATTTTATTTACTTTATGTATTTAGACTTCACAATATAGTTTGTGTTAAAATGAAGGAACAAAACTAACTTGCAAAACTGTTACTTCTTACAATGTAAAACTGTATCATACATTACCTAATAGGACTATGATGAAAACTTGGTGTCAAATATTAAATAAATGCACCCATATGCATTTAGCATATGTTGCATATATACCCATATGTATTTAGCATATGTTTTGACATTTTTTGTGCTGCAGGCATTCCAACTGCTGAACATGTAATGAATGACCTACAGTGAAAAAATGTCAGCACAGGCCTTGAAATGCGATTGAAGCACATGCTTCACGAATCTCTAGATTGAGAGCAATTGATCAGGGGAATATTATCTTTCTTTTTCTATCATTTTTTTCTTTATTGAAAGAAGTACCAGGTTTTATTAGCAAGTAAAGAAAGCTCTTTTTCCCCCTAGAACATCAGATTTTTTTTTGCTTATCTTGAAACACATATTTCAGTTTAGAGCGGTAACATCTTTCATTTAGAATACAGTCAAAAGTCTTTAATCAGGACTCGTCAGGACGTAGAATACGATTCCGGATTATAGATCATCAATTTAAATCTGGTAAGATGGCATGCAGAAATTATAGAATTAAAAGAATGAAACCGTAATTTATGAAATAAAGAGCAATTATGGGTATCAAAGAGTATCAAATCTAAAGGGCATCAAAATTTACAAAACAATGCTTAATATTTATTTGTTTACTTTATTAAACATTTCTTTCAATGTGCACATGCGTAAAGCATACATTACGCATAGTCGAAATTAGAAAATTGCAACCAGAAAACTTTGATGTGTATTCGGGATATTTATAATGACGAGGAATTTGATTTAAATCATATCAAAGACGGAGTACATCGAGATGAAATACTACATTTAGTAAGGAATTATAAGCCGAATAAAATAAAAACATCTGCCCTGAAGATAAGGATAGTGCTGACAGATCAACTTCCAGTTCATTGCGTGCCGCGACGTTTCCCTCCCCCCTCGCAGAACATTGTGAAATTGATAAACAGATTTTGGAATGGTTAGAGAAACAAAGGATATGCCTTTATCCATTTTTTGTAGCAATTCCACTTTTTGTTTGATGGACATCGAAACATACTTTTCGCTTTAGATCCTTTGGCAGCTCCAGCACAGCATCGGAAATTCTATTTGACATAATCGAAAGTTCATGCTTACTTTTATAAAACTGCTCTAACAGTCTGCAAAAAATAATAAGCCGGTTCCAATTCGAAGATTAAGGAACAACACAGTCTGCAACATTAACTGAAATAGATAATTAGATAATTTTAGCTTAGCTTATACCGTCCGTTATACATTAAATGCGCATGTGTAAAGGCATTATGTGCATGCACAGAAAGTTTGTAGCTTTGAGGTCCGGATTATAGATCATTCTGGATTATGGACATCTGGATTAAAAACCTTTGACTGTATTGTACTCTTTCTCATTTGAAGGAAAGATAATCTAATAATTGTGATTTCATAAGAGTTTCCACAAAAAATACTGTTTAGAAATGTCAAGTGTATATTGCTTTGTTTTTGAATAATTTTCATTCTTTTCTGTTTGTGAAGTATGTATGCAAATAAAATTAATAAGAAATTAATTATTGAATCTCTTTTTTTTCCCACCTATTTCAACATAGGTGCATATTTGAAGAAAGTCAAGAAAGGTGATCTAAAAATTGAAGGTAATTTTCAATGAACTCATTTAAAAAATAAAGAATGTAAACACCATATGTAATCCTCTCCCCTACATTTCTGGTTTACTTTATTCATATTGAAAGTTGATTTTACAATTATTTTGTATCTTATTTTAAGTTATAGTAAAACATTATTATAAATCTCTTATTCTTGCTATACTGAGGTATTTGCTGTTTGCATCTCATTTATGTGAACATTACAGATCCAATAAGTTAGATAAGGTGAGAATATAAATTAAATTTTTAAAATTTTTTTTCTATAAAATCAAATTTGTATTCATAGCTGTTAAAGACTTGTATAAATCTAATAATTATATCAAGATTTTATTATTTATTTATAAAATCTAATTATATCAAAATATTATTATATCTAATTATATCAAAAGTTTTAAGTAACAAAAAGAGCAAGCAAGCAAAATAATAATAATAATAATAATAATAAATAAATAAATAAATAAATAAAAATCACTTTCAAAAACAATAGTGTTTTTCAGTAGTCTTTTGCTGCTCTTGTTTCTTTATAGCTTTCATATTTCTGTATATAAGATGTCAGAAACATTTTTACGAATCATGTCAGTCTGTCCCTATATATCTGCTGAACCCTATTATAAAATATTTATTTCAAGTTAGATAAGGTGAAAAATAAAATAATTTTTCTATAAAATCAGATCCCTTTTCATAGCTGTTTGTATATAATCTAATTATGTAATAATGAAAACTGCAAGCAAAAAAAGAAATCACTTTAAAAACAAGAATGATTTTTGGTACTTTTTTCTTTCTATTCTTATTTCTTGAATATAATTTTTATATATTCCTTTGTGAAAGATGTCAGAAGCATTTTTACGAATTGATTGCTTTGGAAATTAACTTTAGTTAATCCAAAGAGTTATAACTTTGTTTCTTCAGTTAATGACATCTTGAAACATATAATTCATTTGTTCTAACATCTCAGTCGGGCATTATATACCTCCTTATATTACATAGTATTTATTTCAAGTTACTGTTTATTACTGATGAAAGAGGAGCATAATTCCGTAAAGGTACTCTGTTTCTTCATGTATATACTTTAGTCTATACACTGAATTTTATTTTTAAAATTTAAAAATTTTAAATTATTTGTTTTGTTTATATTTGAATTTGTGAGTGTCCAACTCATTTTGGAATATTAAATTAGCTTTTCTGGTTAATATTGTGTGACTGATTTAACTGCATTTTAAGTATTAAGAGAATAGCTTAAAAATAATGGTTATATTTAATCATTTTCTGTGTGTGTGTGCAATAATTACTTCATAACGTGCAGAATAAAGTCAGTATTCAGTGATATGTATGCTACTCCTTGGATCTCTTGGTGATAAACAGCTTGATATGTGTGGAGGCTTGAAATTGCTCATGCTTCAAACAATACTGTTCGTGAACTTTGTTGCAAAAAAATATATTCACCCAGGAAGAATTGAACCTCAACTAAGGTGGTGTGGTGTGTGGTGTGTGTGATTATGGCAAAGCCTCGAGGGCTATCTGCCTAAGGGGGGGATGCCTTCGTGGAGGACTTTCTAAGGGAAACTGGCTCGTATACACGTTACACATGGGGAAAACCACGAAAACCTCCATGCAGCCAGCCCGTTCGCGGGATTCGAACCTCAGACCGAACTACCAGTGTTCAGCGACTTTACCGCTCGGCCGCTGGTGGGCCGAACCTCAACTAAGAAACTCAGCAGCAGTATCATGTTCAAGTAGAAAAAAATATTATCAAAAACTAAGGTGAAAGAACTTTTTTATGAGTAGCAATACAAAGAATGTGAAAATCAGTAGAGGTGGTAAAGCCATCCCTACTCAAGCCTATACTCGGGTGGCCATGGAGTTGATTAAGTTGCCAATGCCCTCTGCAGTAGATTGTGCGACAGATGGATCAATTGGTTAATGAGTTAGGTCATATTTGTACATAGCTGAATTTGCATGCCCATCATGCCCCAAATATATTTGATAGGCAATGTTGAAGACATTGTTGGGAAAGTTGTGCTGTATGTGGCTGCTGGAAAACAGAACCTGAATGACCTGCTAGCATAGGCAGTATGATCAGCTATAAAATGTCTTCAACGTACCTGTGAGCAGTCAGAGTACCTCTCAGCATGACTGCTGGTAAACAGCTGTTCCAGTTGATCACTCCCACTCCCTAGGGTGTCACACCCTGTGTTTTGGCTGTGTGCCACTCGATAAAAAGAATGGTACATTAGACCAGTTTCTTCATCTCCAGATGCATATGAGGCAGTCATTAGCCTTGAGAGAAAAATCAGCAATTTTTCGCTGAAGATAACATTTCTCCAATTAGACTGTCCAGCTTGAGTAAGGTGGTACCATGCAAGACAACACTGCTTATAGTGGAGTGTCAATGGCTAGCGTCTCAATGGACATCAAGATTTGAGCCCAGCATCACCTAGTCCTCTGTAGGTTGTATCCCTTGGTATTCTGGGATCCCTACAAGTTGGCAAACAGCATTAAATCAATGATTGTGTAACTGTTGGTGCAGATGGGACATATCTTATAATTGCAGAATCATCTTGCAGATTAGTGGCTTGAAATGCCTTCACTGAGCCACTCATTCCCGCAATGGACAATGACCATATCATTTTGACCGATATGCCTGCTCATTTGCATGTTTGGCCAACTGGTCTCTTTTAGTCCTATGTTGCAATCCCTCTCAAAGTCTGACAGCTATTTGTAATGCTGTTGAATTCATCTCAAAGGCATCTCTCATTTCAATGTCATGTATCCAAACCATCAGTTTGATTATAAATGCTTGTTACTTGCCACACAATGCCTTTTTACATTTTACCATTTGTGCACTTCAGATCCATATTGTATCTCTCCACAGTACTGATTGATGCTGCATGTTTATTCATTTACGCAATTCGTAAAACCACATTTGTATGCTGCATTTCATAGTTGTGGCCCTTTTTTTGTGTGTGTGGTGCATATATTTAAGGCAACAGAGCATATTTCAAGACTTCTTGCATGGTATTCCATGAAACCGTATTCTTTTGAATAATTATAATGGGTTCAATGTAAATTATCTAAAATTTTTAATCCTGTAAAGACCTTAAATAGCCCTACAGGTAGAATCTGTTATGTGAAGCAAGGCTGATAGGAAAACAACCCTGCCTTGTATTAGATGTTGTATCGTATTACCGTCATAAATAGATATTTTCTTATGATATACAGATTTTAAATTTCATATAATGTATTAAAACTCTTTTTCAAGTAGAGAACTATGTATTTTCTATTAATTTCCATTTTTCACCTGTTAAATTGGACAAGCAATTTTAATAGAGGTTTATTGAAAATCAAAAAAGAGTGTACTGATCTTTTCAGTAACATACAGTCAAAAGTCGTTAATTCGGACACCCATAATCCAGAATGATCTATAATCCGGACCTCAAAGCTAAAAACTTTCTGCGCATGCGCCGCGTTGACACATGCGCATAGGCGTTTACGCGTGCCCGTAAGACCTCTTACGACTGCGCATTTGCGTGTGCGCAAGTGCAGAATACGTTTTCGCGTGCACGTTTTATGTATTACGAACAGTATAAGCTAAAATTATCTAATTATCTATTTCAGTTAATGTTGATGATTGCGTTGTTCCTTAATTTTCGAATTGGATCCGGCTTATTATTTTTTGCAGACTGTAAGAGCAATACTATAAAAGTAAACTTGAACTTTCGATTATGTCAAATAGAATTTCCGAATCTGGAGCTATCAAAGGATCGTACAAAACGAAAGTATGTTTCGATGTCCATCAAACAAAAAGTGGAATTGCTGCAAAAAATTAATAAAGACATGAAGAATGTGACAGAGAGGTTAGTGAAAACGACAAAATTTCGATTGACAAGTTAGTCGGTATTCTCGGACAGCAATTAACGGGACTTGAACAGCGGAACTTTGTAACTGAACAAGAAATTATGTCTGTTTATAGAATTAAAGAGAAAGTATTATCACGTAAAATGAAGCAACTTAAACAACTTACATTGAAAGAAATGTTTAATAAAGTAAACAAATAAATATTAAGCTTTTTTTTTTTAAATTTTGATACCCTTTAGATCATAATTGTTCTTTATTTCATAAATTATGGTTTCATATTTTTAATTTTAGAATTTCTGCATTCCATCTTACGAGATTTAAACTGATGATCTATAATCCGGAAAAATCGATAATCTGGAATCGCCGAAGTCCCGATGAGTCCGGATTAACGACTTTTGACTGTATACAAATTTTCATTCAAGTAAAGAATAACTAAGTAATTAAAAAAATAGAATTAATGCTATTTTTTTTACTCGTACTTTCTTTGATGGAAAGAAGAGAAATGAGTGAGATAGAACATTATAGTGTTGAGGAGAAACTGTAACAAGAGCTATGGTAAATCATGTCATAGGAACTTACCAGTTTTTTCTGCATAAAAAATTATGGGTAAATTTTTCTGTAGCCATTAACCTAAGAAGAAATATACAGCAATCCCACCTATTTTAAATCATTTGTTTAACTCATTAGATAAAGAGCTCAATCACAAGGGAGGTTGTTTTGTAAAGGTAATGCAGACATCAAATGTACTTATTGGTATATTTGTTCAATACAATTGGTGGTGTATCATTAATGCAGTGTTATTTATGTGCCATGTCTTCTGTAATGATATATTTCATATATTCTAAATATATCACTTTCATAATTCACAAAAACAGTTGTCTATTGCTTTGATGATCACCAGGTATTGTAAAATTTGAAATTTGGTATATCAATTACTCGTGTAAGGTGATTTGAAAAATTAAATTTCTGATTCTCACAAATGCATGTTGTAACATAATGTTTGTTTTAACGCTTAGAAGACAGGTGACTGAAGAAACAGCCAGAGCTGTGGAGTCTCAAAAAGATGGGTGTGGTCAAAATTTTGGCCAGAGAAATTCCCCCCCCCAATTCTTCAGATTGCAGAGATAGTCATTGTCTGATAACCTCTCCTGCCATTTCTGCTATGATGTTTGTGCCTCCCAACTGTGGGGTTTAGTAAATTCCCTTTCGTTTCCCTCAGCAGTGAAATCTTATCTTGGGGTAAAATCTTTCAATAGTGTCAAAGAATATCTGTTGATATGTTCTTTGTTTGCGTTTCGCGTGATTCACTTGCTGTCTAAAATTCTACACTAGTACCTGGCTGTGCTTTACTTTCACTATGTATAGAAGAAAAAAATCTGATGTGTGCACCATACAACTTCCTTGTATGAAATATTAAATTATATGCATTTTCCCCTACATTTCGTTTAAACTTATTTCCTCAAATTTCATTAGATATAGGGTGGCCCAGAAGTCACTTTACATTTTGAAAATTAAATAACTTTTTCTTAAATGACTGTATTTAATTAATTCTTTTTTATTTTTTGCTTATTCACAGTCCATTCAAATGGAAATGAGCTTCATCTCCCATGATCAACTTGTGAATAATCATTGTCATTTCTTGCAGTTCTCTGAAACTTGACAGCATATTTACTCGTTTCTGAAAGTCTGCTGGTTTTAAAGATTGCACTAATTGAACCTTGAAAATGCGATCACTAAGTTCCTTATTGCAGGCCTACTAGGGGGATGTTGAACATTAAAATGGCCATAATTGCGTTGCAACAATTGACCGTCCATTTTCAAAGTAAAATTCAATTATCTTCACTCTTGTTGTTTAAACTTATCCATGCCAAAAATTTCCAGGGATTATATTTTTAATTCTGAAAAGAGAAAAGAAATATATTAATAGAAAAAAAGTTTTTAATTTTCAAAATGTAAGTGACTTCTGGCCACCCTATATATACTTCTCATTCAATTAATTTAGTTCTTACTTCATGATAAGGCAAAAATATATGACACCTCAAAATATCTGTATTAAAAATTGAAAAATATAAAACATAAATAACAGGTAAAACAATTTAAAGAACAATTTTTACAATTAAAATTAAAGTTTCTACACAAAAACAAGCGATTCGGCCAGTGGGTAAGAAGGCAGATTTTTTGGTGCACAAAACTGAAACTGAAAGTTTACTTTTGGTCTCACTCGGCAAAATGACACTGAAGACGTAGAAACTGACTTAATTTGTTGTGGACGCTATGCTGAGGAATGTATGAAATAATTTAATAACTTCTGATATTCCAGGGATTAGCATGATTTAATTCACAATAAAAAAGTGTGTTTTTTTTGAGTAGCTTAGTTTCTCCAGTTTGTTAACCCCTTTGTGCCAACTGTCACGTATACGTGCCAGCAATGAACACACTTACCTACTGGCCGACACACAGGCGTGCCAGAGCATTGTTGCGTTCTCTACCTACTGTTACCTAATTTGTGCCAGTACCTTGGAACGTTTTTCAAACTATAATTTCTGCCACAAGATGGCACTGTATGTCCATATGGTTTCAGATACATGTACATTAGACCTTCTACTCGAAATGAGAGAAGCATGACTCACATACACGTGTTTTTGATTATATAACAAAACGGGGAACTAAATGTTTCCGAATGGCGTGATTTATGACGTCTCTTTTAAATCGCACTTTATTCGCACGTGGTAGTTGTTTATTGTACGTAGAAGTTTATATGCGCTAAAGCGTTGAGTATTTCGGTTTACAGTTCAGTTTTTTTTAGAAAATAATTAGATCTTGTTAGACGTGGAATTCTTTCTGTTTTTACCGTTTCAATGTCGAAGCGTCGAAAATGTTTAACAGAGCATGAAATAGCAGAAATGATGCAAAATATTTCAGATATTGATTCTGAAATTCTGATATTCTGATATTGATTCTGAAAGATTAACTGAAAGACATTTTCCAAAACTTTGTTCAGAAGAGACTGATAAGAAAATGAGACGACGATGCTTCGTTTGTTCACATTCCCGGAAAAATCCTCCAAAACGGCAAATGAGTTATTACGAGTTCAAGGAATGTAATGTAGGACTGTGTGTAGATCCCTGTTTTCAAATTTTTCATACGAAAAGAGAATTTTAAGTAATATATTTAGTTTTCAGATGTATAATGTTAAAAGTCATAAAATGGTGAGTAATTAAAACAAAATGTGTAAAATATGCATTTAAACAAGAAATAAGGTAATTAAAGTATATATATATAAAAAAATCTATAAAGCATAACCCGTTTAAATACTCCATAGAGCATTATTAAACAATGTGTTGATACTTCGGAAATTTCATAGATTTAGGCTTAGTAGCAAAAAAGCCCCCGGCCCTGGAGAGAAGCTCGCGGAAGACACTGCCGGCCTCCGCGATAAGTGCACGTCTTCACTACCCGCCTCGAAGGGGTTAACAAATACACTATTCTGCTATATTTCAAATGTAAACAAATATAGCTGCAATGGTAAAAAAAAAGTTAGGCCTAGTCGCACTTGAACAACTTTCAAATTATTGATAATTCTACAGCTATTGCATGGAAGTTAAATAAAGGCATAAAATTTTGAACTGGAAGATAAGAACAACATAATTAAATCAGTTTTAAAAAAAAATTCACAATTTACCAACATATAGGAATAAAGAAACTGAGCTCAATGAGACGAGTCTATATGAATATATAAATAAAGTTTGTAAATCCACTTGAGATTTTATGATATTGGTATTAATTTTACCAATTTTTTAGTGTCATTAAAAATGTATTTTTTTTTATATTTCCCCTTTTTGTTGTAAATTTTGTATTTAATACTGTCTTTAATTCGGACACCCATAATCCGGAATGATCTATAATCCAAACCTCAAAGCTACAAACTTTCTGCGTATGGCCGCGTTGATGCATGCGCGTAAGACCTTTACGGCTGCGAATATGCGTATGCGCATGCGCAAAATAAGTTTATGCATGCGCGTTTAATGTATAACGGACGGTATAAGCTAAGCTAAAATTATCTAATTCAGTTAATGTTGCAGATTGCGTTGTTCTTTAAACTTCGAATTGGATCCGGCTGATTATTTTTTGTGGAGACTGTTAGAGCAATTTTATAAAAGTAAGCTTGAACTTTCGATTATGTCAAATAGAATTTCCTATATATATTTACTAATCTGTAAAGAATCTACAAAGCGAAAGTATGTTTCGAAGTCCATTAAACAAAAGTGGAATTGCTGCAAAAAATGACCTAACCATTTCGAAATCTGTTTATCAATTTCACGCTGCTCAGCGGCGCGGAGGGGGGGGGGGTGGAATGCTGCAGCACGCAATGAATTGGAAGTTGATCTGTCAGCACTATCCTTATCTTCAGGGCAGATGTTTTCATTTTATTTGGCTTATAATTCCTTACTAAATGTAGTATTTCATCTCGATGTATTCCGTCTTTGATATGATTTAAATCAAATTCCTCGTCATTATAATTTCCTTCCAATAGTGAAGAAAGTGACCCAGAGGTTATTGAAAATGAAAAAATTTCGATTGACAATTTAGTCGGTATTCTCGACATAGCAATTATAGGACTTGAACAGCGGCACTTTGTAGCTGAACAAGAAATTATGTCTGTTTATAGAATTAAAGAGAAAGTATTATCACATAAACAAAGCAACTTAAACAACTTACATTGAAAGAAATGTTTAATAAAGTAAACAAATAAATATTAAGCTTTTTTTTTTTTTTTTTTTTTTTTTTTTTTTGTATATTTTGATACCCTTTAGATCATAATTGTTCTGTAGTTCATAAATTACGGTTTCATATTTTTAATTTTATAATTTCTGCATGCCATCTTGCCAGATTTAAACTGACGATCTGTAATCCAGAAAAATCGATATTCTGGAATCGCTGAAGTCAGGACGAGTCCGGATTAATGACTTTTGACTGTATCGTTGTTTGAAGCATGCAAAATGCAATGCAATACAATGGAAATATAATAAATAAAATCTGTTTTTTCTAGTAAGGAAGCATATTTTTAAAAAACACACTAAAGGAAAAAAAAAAAAAAAAAAAAAAGACCTCTCGTCACAAAACTGCAAGAAAGAACAATGGACAATAATGTAGTTGAAAGATGAAAAGGGGAGCATCAATAATTAAAAATCTGAAGAATACTAGTGAAAAAGGTAAATGAAACTAATGTCACAAAACACAAGGTGATTTGTTTAATATATAAATATAAGCTGCTACACAATGCTTGTAAAAAAATGAAAGTGAATTGCTGATTTATACGAGAAACAAATAGTTACACATCATTCTCGAATATTGAAAACAAATAAAAACTGATTATTTATGTACTGATTTTTGGCTTACATAGGACGTATTTGCTGCTAAGGTATATTTTTGTCATAATGCAATATTAAAAGTTAATACTCCACTATTTGACAATTATTTAGCTATGAAATCTCACCATCATATGTTTCCCTAGTTTAGGGAAAAGAAACAGCAGAAAAGAGAAAATGTTCCTTTGTTTTATTCCCTAGTCTTTTATCTGAAAATAAACAAAGACGACCTAAAGGAAAGGTTTCAAAACAGTAGTAATTCCCCTTTACAGTTTTTTTTTTTTTTTTTTTTTTTTTTTTTTTTTTTGTTAGAGCTTGTATTAACTTGGTGAGTTTGTGGTACTTTTCATATAGCTCTTTCATCTGTGTACATGAAATACTTTTGAAAGTATAGCCTTTTCAAAATGAATCAATCATTTATGCTAGCCCTGTATTTAGATAGTGAAAAGAATGCTTTCCATGCCCAAGGCTGTCTGAAAAATTTGACTGCAATCTTAACACTTTTGTTTCTCTTTGTACATAAAGTATGTTTTATTTCAGAAATTTGTATTGCCTGCTATGACTTAAAAGAAGATTTAACTTCTCACCCATTGTTTAAAGGAGGTCTTTGTGCTTCATGCAAAGAAGATTTTATGGAAACAATATTCGCCTTTGGAGATGATGGGAAAAATGTATGTAAAGTATTATTTTTTTAAATTGAACAATAATACGATTTAGTGAGAAATTGGGAGGGGTTGTAAAGAAAATCAAAATTATGTACACTAAAATCTTATTAACTACTAGAAAAATCTTAAGTTTTCTAAAGAAAATGGAAGTAATATAATCAAAACTTTAATCGAAAGCCAAATTACTTTTTGCTGAGAAAATAAAATATCAATGCAGATTTTTAAGTAGTATTAATCTCAAATTTGCCCCTCCAAGAGGGACATGCTAAACATTTTGCAAATATATTCACTTTAAGTAAAATTTAAATGTATTCTCATTTTATAATTATTGCAGAATTCAAATGAAAGTAGGGTATGGCCTGTGATTATGCATTCCTTTTAAAGATATTGCTGTTCATTATATATCTTCTGTTGGCTTCACACTATTTAAATATCTGTATTTCGAGATTAATTTTGGGGGTAATGTTTTCACATCTAAAATCCCTTTTTAAACCAGTCCAAGTTTTTCTGAGCAAATATTTTTGATTTCTCTAGTTATGTGTCCTTTATAGGACAACATATCTGCCATAATTTTCTTAGCATTTGCAATATTTGAAGATTTTTTCATAATACTATTATTTTGATTATATTCTTCTGCCCTTAGAATAATTTAAATAATAGAAATCTTGCAAAATATCATTAAATCTTTCTTCTTTATTCAGAACCAAACCAGAATAATTTTTCCTGGATGCACGGACTAGAGGCAATATATCCAAAGACAGTTTTTGGAATTTTAGTGGCTGATTTTCTAATCAAAATTTTCTCATTTTTAAAATCTCAAAAGAACAGTTTGGTTCCTCGCAACATGTTTTATTTTACGGATAATAACAAACTATGAATCAGCTAATTGAATTTTAGTTGGAATATTTAATATAAATATAAATATGAAATGTTTGAAAACGTCCATTTCTATCTTAGGAATAACCCAGGGAATTATTGACTGTATGTGTGTTCTTATAACATTTTCGTTTATCATAGGAACTGATCCATGAATCTTTTCCTATTCTAGACTTGAATTATTTGTTGTTACATAACAAAATTGAGTATGTTGCCTTTATTTTAAATTGTGTGAATCGTTTTTTTCCCATTGAGATGACCAGTGGGTGACTGTATAAGACAGCTGAACGTCAGGAGCTCGACCTGGGATACTGGCAAAAGGCTGCTTGTGTAAATGTTTTCATGGTCTCTGCCATGTATAATTTTGAGGATGAGCTAATTTTCTTTAGAAATTTTTCTGTCTCTCTGCATGTGTATTGTAACTATTGTATGATTTACTGTAACTGCGAAAATCAACTTTTTTCCCACTTGGAAATATACAATTTCTGTTGCATATGAAACATGTTTTCTTCTAATCAAAAGATAGCTTCACTGACTTTTTTTACCTGAATTCTTGTTTATTATATTCAACCAGGTTATATCTCACTGAGTATAAAAAATGGGTGAGCTTTTAATTAACAAGTGATGTTTTCTTTGGCAATCAATGCATCAAAATTTGAAATTTATAATTAAATTATCCTTCCTAATGTTATATTTAAATTGAATATAATTCCTTAAACTAGTGGCATTTATATGGTTGCTGTTCATAAGCACCATTCTAAGTACTACCAAACAATAAACTGTAAGAGCTTTCGATATAACATTTCTTTTTACCAAGTATTTGAGTTTACTCGGAAAATGGTAATAAATGTTATTTAATAATTGGAATCTTTTCTCCAAAAATGAAATTAATTCATTAAATGTAGGAATCTTATTAACATAAGTGCTTAATTCATATTATATGTGTGTTTCATGATCTAACTTCTAACACAATGTTTAGCAATAAAATGTGAAATGAAATTATGTTTTCATAACTTAAACCAATATAAGCTCTTCAAGATTTTAATAACATTATCCACTGTATGTCTTACGCTATTTTATGATTCAGAAATTATAAAGCCCTTCTGCTCTATATATTATTTATATTATTGTTTAAAATTGTTATCTGAAGAGTTTTAACTGTAAACTAAGTATCATAAATGGTTTCAAAGTTTTCTGTTTGGGCACATTTGATATGACTTTTTAAATTAGTTTCTGAAATGCTGTTAACTGGCGTTTATTTGCAATAATATTTTCAAATTTTTACTGAAAATTATTTCATTGTGTATATTTACCAGTAAATATAATAATTAGCAATTCCAGTGAATAAATTTGTGTTTTAGAATTAATTTGATTGTTTCCTTCTGTAATCAGCGTACTCAATATAGAATGGCATTTTAGTATTTACCTCCAAAACCTTGGTTTTAGCTTCTAATGCAGGTTCTTCATCAATGGGGATAGTACTTTCATTTTCTTCCCTTGATTTGATAATAGCTCTTTTGCAAAATTTTAATTGTTACACTGTCAAGCAAGAAATGTTTTCCTTGAAAAATTTAACCAATTTAATTAATATACTCTTGGAAATATCGATGTTCATCATAAGATACTGATCTATCTTATAACAGAAAAAATAAATAAATAAAATAAAAAATCGTGAGATCTGTATACTTAAAAATACTGTTGACATGTTCTGTTTAAAGTTAATAACTAAAGGTTTCAACCTTTGCCATTGTACAATAAGAAGCATGTTTTAGAGTACTATACTCATTCTTTAACATCTTGTTGCCCAGCATAATAATTAAATCATCTTCTTATGGTAGACATATTTTCTGTTTTCTTGTTAATTCTAGTTTTGCTTTTTAAATTTTTTAAAAACAAAAATTTTATGAAAGAATTCTACTAAATCAGCAACATGTGACATAACTTGATTATTTTTCATTATTTCTTAAATGAGTTAAACTCTTAGCATTGTGTCCTTAAAAATAAATATAAAAAAAAAGATGTATTCAGTGTGTTTCTGAAATTAAATTATGGCTATTTATTGAAGGCCACTCTCACTTAAACAGATTAAATACCAGCAGTGATTAATAGAATACTTTCCTTGGATTATAAAAATGAAAAATGAAGAATATGCATATTCCATGATGTAACACTGCATAGTTCACCAAAAAATATTCACCAGTCCATTAGGATTTTTAGATGCGTAACATGTAATAAGCATTGATATTAGTTGACAATAACTTCTTCCATGTGTTTCACTTTGTAAGCTTGAAGGTAAACTGGACTACATAGATATAAAACATACAAAGCAATTTAGTGTACAAAAATTTGTGACAGGGTATCATGCATTACTGGCCAATATGTTTTTTGTTCAAGTAAAGAAACACAGCTTCAAAGAAGAATTTCTTAATGTCTGAGGGGGTAAATTTCAGTGCTGCAACAGATATTGATCATAATTGAGCAATCCAAAATGAAAATAAGTGATTGGCTTTATTGGAATGGGGCAAATTGAACATTACTATTTTTTATAAGATTCTGCTGTAACTCTTTCTCTACCTGCAGCAATAAACCATTGATCAAATGACAGCATGGGAAGTTATTTGCAAAAATAAGTAGTAATGTAACCTAATCTTTAATAAATGTGATTTTATTGGATCTCTCTTGTATACTTCAGCCTTTTAATGTTATAAAATGAGCTTTTCTGCTTTCGTTTTGATTAGTATTGCAACCTAAAATGATGTAAAATAAAGCTGATGACAGTTGAGATATAAATTACATAAGGGATAGCCCACGATGAAAACAATATTTCTAACCCAGACAACTGTTTAGGGCTGAATGAAAAATTTAAAAAAAAAGTGTATGGATATTATGTTATCTGTAATATGTAATTAGCATTCATGGATCTCGGAGCTGATGATGTAAATCTTAATCCTAGGAATGAGTAGGGTAAAACCATGGAGGTAGGAAAGGAAGGAGTGGCCAACCGGCACTAGAAGTGAAGCACTGCTTTGAAGCTTCGGTCACCAGATGGGGTGTTCTTTGTTTACATTCAGAAGCTCGCTTGACAGGGTTCTGATATTATTTTGACACACGATTGGACTGTACATGTGCTTGGTGCATTAATGTCTATTTCGCTGTTTTTTTTTTTTTTGTTTTTGTTTTTTTTTTGTTTTTGTTTTTTTTTTTTCATAGGAATTACTTTCTTCCACAGTACTTTCGGTCATGCTTTCAGTGAAAAACAAAAAAAGTTTAATACAGTCTTCAAGGGCACTGAAATATTTTCCCTAATAAGTCCCGGTTTCAAAGTAAAACTAATTTTACGAAGTTCCTCGATGTCAGAACTCCATTCACATGCTGGAATCAGAACCAATATATTACTATTATTATCGTCTTCTAATTCAGAATCTGAAGATTCTCAACTACTATATGAAGGACTTCATTAATTTATAGTTGTTTCACTGTAATTGTCAGAATGATCCTTAGATGAATCATTTATAACTTTAGATATTTCCTCCTCAGAAAGGCAACATGGTCTTTTAGCCATGGCTACACAAATGAATCTGAAAGTAAAACCCATGCTAGAATATCTTCAATAAAATCCCATCCTAAAATAGAATTGAAACTATAAACAAACACTTCAAAATGAGCTAAAAGGCTCTTTGCCACGTGTTTCCTTTTTCACCCGCTAGTACTTAGTCATATTATAAAAACATATAATTCCTGATGTTTCATTTTCTCCAATAGTATCATCTATAGTACGGTCGTTATATAATGTTGAAAGCATAAAAACAGTTTTTCCTTTTTTAGGAACGTTAGGAATTAATGTTTTATCTTTTGCAAAACCAAAAACAGTGTAGAAAATATTCCTAGTTTCATCTTCAGTTTCCGAAATGCAATCTTCATCTATGTGTTTATGTTTACATTCACGAAAATCCAATAAAGCACAGACACTTGATGGACCCCATTCTGACCTCAGAGAGGGAAATAATAATGTACGAGAGCAATCTTTTGAATGGAACGTGAACTAGTGACACCATCTGATAGTAAATATTTCATTCCAAAAGCATGGCAAAACTGTGCGGCGATCGTCCTGCTGCGTAGGATTTGAGGTAACGCAAGGATGTGCCGTTAAGCTCTGAAGGACATCTAGCGCTGACGCATATTTGCGGCATTCGTCCCGAAAGGGTTGGTTGATGAACTTTCAGAGATGCTAATCTGCGTTACAGTTTTCAGTAAAAAGTGATATGCAAGAGCAGATGAAAAGTGATGGAAAAATAGCAAAAGAAAAGAAATGTAACCAACCATAAACAAAATACTTATGCAGAATGATGAATTATATGAAGCCTTATAATGTGAAGTTTCAGTCTTTTCATACACCTACCTGTTAACTATCTAATTAGGGCAATAAATTTATGGTGTGTATAATTTGCAGGAATGTCACTTTTCTGCTCTTTTAACCCGCGGGAAAGTGCATGGGGTGTATCATACCCCACCCCTACATAAAAGTGGAATATTCGTAACTTGTGAAACTAAAATTCTGTGCTGCATTCAGTAACTGAGTTTCTAGTTGTGGTTGACTTTCAGAACCGCTTTTTCTTTGCCTGTGTGTTTCAGAAAAAGATTTTTCAGTATTTTGTTGGAACTGGGGTATGACACACCCCACGCGCCTGTTCGCATAAGTGTTTTTCTGACTGAATATAGTTCAGAAATTTATTTCTAGAGTGTAACAGTAAATATTTCTACTCGCAAGTGATTTTAAAGTACTTGACATTAAATTCTTAAAAATTTTTAACTGCATTATGGTAAAAAGAATGACTCCCTATGAATTGGAGATGCTACGCCTGTGAGATTTATTAGAAATATTTGAAAGCGATGAAGATTGCATTTCGGAAACTGAAGATGAAACTAGGAATATTTTCTACACTGTTTTTGGTTTTGCAAAAGATAAAACATTAATTCCTTACGTTCCTAAAAAAGGAAAAACTGTTTTTATGCTTTCAACATTATATAACGACCGTACTATAGATGATACTATTGGAGAAAATGAAACATCAGGAATTATATGTTTTTATAATATGACTAAAGGAGTAGTGGATATGGGGAATGAATTGTCAGCCAATTATTCAATTGCCAGTATAACAAGGAGGTGGCCAATGGTAATTTTCTTTCCTGCACTGAATATTGCTGTAATAAATGCTTGAATTATATTACATTCAACTGCTAATCCACCAACCAGAAACAGAAGTCTGTTTTTGAAGGACTTAGCATTACAATTAATGAAAAAAAGTTTTGAACAAAGATCAGAGATTAATACTTTACCAAGAAATTGACGTACTGCATGCAAAACAAAAGCAAAAGTTTCGACGAAGAATTAAAACGAATACATGAAATATGAAACAACTAAGTATGAAAGATGTGATAAATTGCCCTCGTGCCAAGGACAGAAGAATGTGAATGCAATGTTTAAAATGTGAAAACATTCTGTGCCAAGAACACATGAATGTATTTCATTCAAAGTGTAAAGAAAAAAAATAAGCATTGTGTATTAGAGATGCAAATGAAACTTAGAGGCATGATGTTTATTTTTTTATTATTTTCATTTATTTAATTTAACTCTAAGATTATTTTGGAAATTGATTTTTTTGAAACCAAATTATTATCACGTATTTATAATACACGAGAACAAGAAAAACAGCTTTTTAAACAAAATAAAACTATTTTTATCATATTTTAAATACTGGGGTATGTGATACCCCACGAGCCCACTCTAGTAACTTTTCTTGGTGCGACTTCTGCCGGGTTAAATTTACATATCAGTTAAGTAGCAGTATTTTAATCATTGGTGTCAGCAGGTAAACTGATGTACTCTAGAAATTTGTGGAGTATGCTTTCCATAATGCAATTTTTCTTATTCGTACATAGGCCCACCAGCGGCCGAGCGGTAAAAGACGCTGAACACTGGTAGTTCGGTCTGAGGTTCGAATCCCGCGAACGGGCTGGCTACATGGGCGTTTTCGTGGTTTTCCCCATGTGTAACGTGTATACGAGCCAGTTTCCCTTAGAAAGTCCTCCACGAAAGGCATCCCTCCCTTTAGGCAGATAGCCCTCGTGTGCTTTGCCATAATTAAATACACACACACACACTTATTCGTACATAGTGACTATAATGAGTACATATACTCATTATAGGCTGAGTACATATACTCATTATAGGCTGAATTACCTTCACAAACAGATATATATACATATGCGTAAATCTTAGAATATGCCCATATCAAGGAAGATAGAATATGCCCATATCAATGTTTGTGCTAATTATTTATGCTTCACATATCAAAATCAAATCTTATCCCCTTCTCTGGTATGAAGCAAGCAGATTACACTCAAGTCACCCCTTCTTCTTATATCAAAGTTAGTGACAGGCATATCACCTATCAGTTTGATGCAAGAGAAAATGGGGATAGATTCTGGATGTGGAGTATCAGCAATTACCAGGCTGATTGTAAGTGCCCAGCCTGGCATAAGCAAAAGTATTTTTAATGTGACTTTAAACGTTAATAATTTAATGCAACTGAGGAGTCATGCAAAGTGTTTTGCGCCTCCTCCTCCTATTTGTCTTACTAATGAGCTATACATTGCTGATAATCTTGTATATATTTTTAAGTGAATAACTTTTTCAGGTCTGTTGTATAATATGTGCCGAACCAGGGTCTTTGATTTTGTGTGACAACAGCAGTTGTAACCGGTTAGTATTAGCATATGTTATCATACTAACATAAGTAAGTTATCATGGTATTGTAAAAGATTTTATTACAAAATGTAATTGGCAGTAATTTGATGAATCCTTTAATGTCCTATCAGTAACTTTGTTTCATAGCATTATTAACGTGTATGGCTTGATATGAGTGTTTGTGAAAAATTAGATTTATTGTCATTTATTAAGAAATTTTCAAAAGTATATCTTCTAAAATTTTTAAAAATTAATTTCAGTATTTTCTTTTATAAAAAATTGTGGATATGTACAAAATCATAGTATTTAAAAATTATCAAACTAAATGTGGAATGCTATAAAACTACATAAATGAAGGCAAATAAAAGAAGTTATCATTGATTTTGGGTTGTTAGATTTAATGTTATGATGGCAGTAGTTGAATGAATATTGTGAATAAAGACATCAATATTTGTTCTATCTGAATGTGGATACTATAATTAAAAATGAATTAGTGAAAATTGTATAAGTATCAGTGGGCACATCTAAGCTTATTAGGGTACTGTTGAATGATCTGAGGAAAATTTGATAGTATAAAATGCTAAAGAATTTTTTTTTACTTGCAAATTTAGAAATGATTAAGAGGGAATTCTAGACCTTTTTTTAAAAATAAATAAATAAACAAATAAATAAAAATAAAATATAACAACAACCCCCCCCAAAAAAGAAGATAACAACATTTTATTACATTATAAATAATTTCCAAAGCTAGATTACCATGGGAAAGATCTTAAGCGATTTTGAAAGAAAAGAATGCACAAGATAGCTAAATGTTAAAAATATGCAAAATAGTTAATTAAATGTTAGGTGGACTGTTTGGAAGCAGCAAAACAATTCTAATTCTGACAATGAAGACGGTTTTTAACAAATTTCATTTAGTACATGGGAGAATTAAAACCAATCATCAATAAATAAATTGGCAATGACAGAGTTTAAAATTTTGTGCATACTAATTAATTAGGTTGCAAATAATTATTGTGTAAAACTGGCAGGCTTTCTGAATCTTTTTTTAAGTCTTTGATATACAATTAATATTATAATAATAAAACTTTCGTTTTTTACTATTTATATATTTGTTGTCCTTTTTGTTTAAATTAGAAATAAAATATAGACAAAATAAAGGGTCTGACCATTTTAATTTACAAAAAGATACATAATAATAATTTCTTGTTTATGTAAACTGGAAAAAGATATCAAAATGCAATGTGCTGTTATATAGTGATGTTTAATTATTTGTATATTAATTCCTGCAAAATCATATTAAATTTGTGTATATTATTATCAAAACTTTTGAGGATAAAGAAAGTAAAATTCTTTTCTAGAAAAATGAAATACTTCTAGAAATTGTAGACATTTAAAATTTGATGAAAAAATAACTTCACTTTGGTATAGATTTTCAGTAAAGCTCCTTGATTTCAAGGGCAGTCAGACAAAGGTTTCACTTCTGCAGGAGTAAGAAAATTTTGGTGTGGTTATTTTTTTTTTTTTTTTTTTTTTTTTTTTTTTTTTTATTCTAATGAAAAGAGAACTTTGTCTAAGTCACCCTCAAAACTGAGTTTTGTTCAAAATCGACACCAAGTTGAGATTGCTTTCTTGTCTAATTTTAAATATTACAATGGTAAGTTTCTCTTCCACTTTGATCTTAAACACTGTTTGAAATTTGCTGTAAATTGTAACTGTTAATCTGCCTTTAAAATACATAACATAATGACTACTACTATTCCTCAAGTATGAAAAATTATGACACCTTGATACAAATCGCCTAAAGGCTACAATGAAAGAATCTGCAATTAAGTTGCTAAGTGCCTCAATATGGTAAGCTTTGGTAGCTAGACATACAAACAAAGCTATATAACCTCTAGTGGTCTTAAGAAAAGGACCTTTGTAAATTTCAAAATTACAGGACCGGCATAATCAATACCTGTGCTAAAAAAATGGTCTCTCAAGTGTTACTGTTTGTTTTGGCAAGTTTCCCATTAATTGATTATTATATGGCAATTTATATCTGTGACAAACAATATATTTATGGATAAAAGACAAAATAAGTTTCTTACCATTTACAGTCCAATAGATTTGTTTCAAAATGTTTGCTAGTAAACTGGGCCTTGCATGCGCATAAGTTACATGATGTTGTTTAACAAGTAACAATGCAATCCTGTGTTGACCTGGGATAATTATGGGATGTTTAGCATTGAATGCCAAGTCAGAATTTTGCAGACAACCTCCTACCCATAAAACACCATCATCATCTGGAAAAGGAAAAAATGAGTTTAAAACTTTTTTAGGACTTAAGAATGAATTATTTTTTAGATCTTTTATATGTTTGTGGAAGTGCACAAACTGGATCCATTTAATGATCAACTTCATATCTTCTTGCTTGTCATTAGATGAAGGTACTATTGCAGGATTTTTTAACCTATTATCTTCAGGGCCAAAGACCTGTTCTTTGCACCTAGAAATAAATCTTAAGCAAAAAGAAATTACATTAACTATTTTAGATAAAGAAGAGCAGTTTTAAAAGAAATTATCCAGAGTGTCATTAGTCAAGTAAGCTGTTGTACAAAAAGTTGATTTTGTCCTTTGTTCAGTTAAGACAGTTGCATCACTACTAGTCTCATTACTGTCAGAACATTGTAGAGGCTACTTTGAGCTGCCGAACACTAAGAATAATGGCCCGAGCCACCAAATGGATATGTTCAAGTTTAGGGTCAATTCCTCTAGAAGGAAGATCAGCAGGGTTCTGTTTCGACAAAATATAGCTCCACTGTTGATAGAAAATTTAATGAAAGGAATTAATTGATATTTAATATAAGGGAATAACATCTAATATTTCTGAAGTCCTATTTGCCACAAAAAGCTTCTGTTTTTGAGGATGAGCTGCTAACCAACAGAGAACCACCTTAGAGTCGGTCCAAGCATGGAAGAAAATTTCAGTTTTCAAAAGAAATTTCAAAAGACCTTACGGACAGCTTTGATTCGTTTGCCAAAAAGCAATGCACTTAGGAGTTCCAGTTTAGGTATAGATACTTGTTTAATAGTTTCAACTTAGCAACCACCAAATTGACTTCATTCCTGTCACAAGATGTTGGTTGAACACAGTAGATGACAGCAGGGTAAGCAGATTCTGTTCAGATTTCAGTTCAAATTTCTGTTCAGGTAAGCATTCTGTTCAGATTTCTGTTCAGGTAAGCAGATTTCGTTCAGAAAAGCCATGCAATTAGATGTGATTAGATGTAGTTTGAAGCCAACTGGAAATTTTAACATTGGTGAGAAACTTGAGATCTTGAAGTCGCTACAACTTCTCTTCCCATTCTTTAGGCAGTGGGGCATCCCAGTCAAGTTTTAAAACCACAACTGCTGATAAAACATTTTCAACTTGACTGTACATGGCAATAGCAAGCCAAGAGGATCAAAGATTTGAGAAGATTGAGAAATGAACTTTCTTTTAGTAATTCCAGTCCCGAAATCCATAGAAATGTTAAATAAAAATACGTCTTCTGTGGAGTTCCAGAAGAGCCCTAAAGTTTTGGCATAATCATCTGAGTGAACTTCCAGGTCACTTTCTTCCTGATTATCAATGGATAAATTTTCGAGAAGCTTAGGGCAGTTTGATCTTTATTTCCTTAAATTGAGTCCATGTCTGCGTTTTTGAATTAACAGATTCTCTCCAAAAACTTCTTTGTATGTTGATCCTCATTATCTACTACATTTTTTCTATGTCAGCAGAAAAAGCTATTTTATGTATACGGAATTGAGCAATATTGAAAATATATGTCGTTGTAGTGTTGCACTTACCCCTAAAACAGAGTTTAAAAAAAACGAATTATTAGGTTTATGTGATTCGTCAATTACTATACGAATTTTAGTGGTGGAGCTACTCTGTTTAACAGCAGCATGATGCCCTAGAAAATATACTTGATTATTTTCTTTAGTCTGAACAACTGGAGCCAGATGATTTAAATTTTCGTATTCTTGCATGAACTCCTTGTATTGCCTACTAAGCTCTTTATCTAAATCAAAATTTAGCCAAACGCATCTAGACAAAGCCTTTTTGCCAAAAGATTTTAATCCACGGACAACATCATCAGATGTATCAGATAGTTTTCTTAGATTAACAGAATCAGCACTGGTAATTCTGGGTTGCTCAAGAAATGTTGTGACAAGTGACATGGCAATTTGATTTTTCCTATCATAATGATTCATCAATTTGTCCCAAGCCTCGTCGTATGTAGTTTCAGAAATCAGAATGTGCTTAATAATAGCAGCTGGTTTGCCCGTTAAAAGTCCTATCAAATATTGGAATTTCTGAATTTTCGATAATCACTGATTGGTGTGAACTGTCGCCATGTACAGATCTTTAAAATTAAGCCAATTAGTATGCTTACCATTGAAACCCAGAATGTTTAAATGAGGAAGTTTAAAGTTAGAATCAACTGCAGTGGAATTTGAAATTAAAACATTCCTGACCATAGCTGTTTCAATGGCGAATTGATGCAATACTTTCGTTTCAAAATATTTAGCTTCAAATTCAGAAATTTCAGAAGCATCTTTGGGTAAAGTGACATCATATTTATCAAAATCTATAAATATTTGTTCAATTCTATCTAGTCGCGCTTTTAATTCCGTTAGACTTAACTGATAACCAAAACTATTGTGAAGCTGGGTTAAGGAAGATTTCATTCATCCTCTTAATCTTTTAAGATCATCTTCACTTAATTCAGTCATTATTACCATGTATAATGATTAATAAGCACAAAATAACTTCAACAAAATACTTAAACAGCAAAAAATATTTCCACTTATCTTTCTAACATCATGCAGGCGATTCACAGTACTGGTACTTAAAAGTCCATTAAACACAGCTCTAAAGCATATAATTACAACATATTTAACATATATTTAACTGCCTCACCTGGGGAACCAGTTAGTTGCCTTGAACTAAAAAGAATCAGCTTTGTAGACAAACTTTATTGACATTCTAAAACATGAAATATTCTTTAACAAAAATATGCCTGCTGCACAGTGCGGCTAACGACGCTATTGTACCAAAAATTAAGCATGAACAACTATTGCCGTTCACAAAAACTAAATAGTAAAATAAAACTTGTTGCCAGTAACAAGATTATATTGTATAAATGATTACATAAAATTAAATACCGAGAAGCTAAATAAGGCAAAAGAAAAAAAAAGAAATTAAATTTTAAAAATTAATTAAATATTAAAAAAATTAATTAATTATTAAAAAAAATTGTAATTAAAATATGCATTCAACAAAAGAGTTGGAAAATAAAGCTTATACATATTATTTTGTTTATATATATAAATTATTTATCCTTAACAAATATAAAGTAGATTGCTGATCTGAATATATATCTATGCATAATGTATAAATAATAATTGTAGTGAATACTTACATGGTAATCACATAAAATCATCCCTTTGAAAATAACGTTATTCTTGAGAACATAAACAAATATCGGTAAGATCAGAGATGACCTAAGAGTAGTCATCGCTGAGAGGAATTCCCTGCAGATGGAACAGAACAGGGTAGCCTTTACTGCATTTAACACGCTGGCCTTTTTCCTCGTTTTCCTATGAAAACGGAAATAGTGAAAACAAGACAGAATGTTCTCAAAAGATGCTTTGCTGTATTTAAAAAGAAGTCTTGATTATTTGGCACCCTACCTTGAGGCATTGCTGGAAGAGCAGCACAGCAGTTTTTAGATTTATTCAGTTCAGAAATAGGCAAAATTTTGCAATGTTACTTTTACAGAAAATGTTCCATACAATATTTCTTCACCTTGAAAAACAAAACCTCCATGTCTCTTTCTTTTGAAATTCTTAGTTTCTGTACAAAGTAGTCTCAGTGTTGAATTTTGTCAAAATCTGAATGAAAAAAAAAAAAAAAAAAAAACCTCTATAAACCTCATTTTGAAAAATACGTAAAATGCAAAAATACTCTCTGTAACTAAAAGCAATACACCAAGGCGTTATCTGAATTTGCCGAAAATTGGTAGATGTGATGTACACTGTGCAAAAACAAAAAAAAAAGGGAGGGACAGTTCCATATTCCCTTTCTACTGGGCCGATTGATGAAATTCATCTTGTGTTTTTCATGTCTCGAAAGCACGACTTAAGATATGCATTAGATTTATATATAGCACTGTTCTAATATAGGTATTTTGACACAAAATTGGACTTTTTCTGAAATGACATGCCAATTGTTTTCTATATTTCGATTCTATGCTTGAAATTATGCCAAACTGCCAAGTTTTGTAAAAATCGCACGAGTAGTTTGTAAAAAATTAGCTCTAAAAAAGTTTAGCTCCTCAATGTTAATTGAATTTGATATATATTTATTAATATCACTTTTTTACGATTTATTCGATTCTTCCATTCACATTTCAAAATTTAGGTTTATTCCAAGTAAAATTTGCTCATTTTTTATGATTTATTTTTCAAATTTGTATTTTTAAATAATTGTTATAAATTTTTCGAAAACATTTTGAATTTTAATCTGTACAGTTTTTGCCATCATCTTGAAGTAGATGTATTTCTTAGCATACTTGCAAAAACTTGAGTTTTTTATTCAAAATTTCCTGAGATATATGAGAATTTACATTTTGGCAACGAAATGTAGTTTACGCACTTTATAAAAAATTATTTGAAAGTATGAACCCTGACTTTTTTCCCACTCATGGACAATGAAAAAAAGGAAAGGAAAATAGGTTGCTATAAATTAAAAAGTTCGCCAAGTGAATTATTCTTGGCTCAAACTGAAAAAAAAAAAAAAGTGCTGGGATAAATTTTTAAATTTCTCACCAAAAATTTTTAAATTTTATATTTAGGCATAATTTGAGTCGTAGAATCAAAATATAGAAAAAAGAATGGGTATGTTATTTCAGAAAAACTCTGATTTTGTGTCAAAATACTTATGTTAGAGCAATGCTATATATAAATCAAATATATATCCAAGTCGCACTTTAGAGACATGGAAAATGCAATTTGAATTTCGTCAAACTGCCCAGTAGAACGGAAGATATAGAACTGTTCCCCTTCCCCCATTTTTTTCGTAGTGCACATGTATTGAAAAAAAAATTCTCTCAGTATCATAGACATTGAATGTTTTATTCAGGAAATATAGCTATTTGAGAAAAAAATCAGTAATGTGTTGGTTTACATCTGGCCCAAATGCAAACTGTTATATGGCTGGATCATCCATGAAAGCATCCCTCATCTCAAGCAAATAGCTCTCATAGCTTTGCTCTACTAAAATAACCTAACCTAATTCTACCACTCAGTCCCCCCCCCCAACTTCTAATGAGTGAATGCTAAAGTCACTGAATATGGTAGTTCAACCCGGTTTCAAGTCCTGGCAGACAAGCTGGCGGCATGAGCATTTTGTGATTTTTCCTTATGTGTAAAATAAATAAGAACCAGCAGTCCTAAAAATGTCCTGCATGAACGCATCCCTTTTGTTAACGCAGATAGCTCTCACCTACCTTTGGCATAATCCAAATGTACAAAACATCCCTAAATTCTAAAAAACTTGGTGTCAGGTTTGACTTCAACAGCACTATCATTGTTCCAGATGATAAATAATTTACAAATCAACAAATAAATGTTGGCATATATAATGGAATAATCCAAGTAAGAAAGTGTTTTCAAATTTCTTCCATAACCACGAATGTGTGCAAGTAACACAAAAGAAATATTTGTTGAGCAAACAAAGTGCAAGGAAGCCTTGTCAAACTTCATAACTTTTTTAGTTTATGTGTAATTCCATCTGTAGTGTTCACCATTTTTAGGAGTTATAAATTTGCTATTGAGGAGAAGAAAAATTTTCACTGCCTGAATTAGCATATTCAGAACTAGTTTTATTTCATTTATCATCTCAAATTTAGGATTTAAGTCATGAGACTTAACAAAAACCTATTATCTATATAAACTTTGAGAATATCCAAGTTTTGAAAAACCTATATGTGCTCACATGACATATATATTCAGAGATAAAATATACATAAATTGATCGCTGTTATGGCCTATGCTTTTCTTTCCATTACCCAGATGTAGCTTTCAGCGTAACTAGAGAAAATTGGCTCCATTCGATTTTATTTTTATAATTTTTCGTGTTCTATGCATACAAAAATATGTATTTAGAGAGAAAGGAAGATGTAAATAAGAAGTCTGAAAAACTAAAAATGAATTGTGAAGTAACGAACCTAGAGAGATGATTTTTGATTGCTTTGCACTATTTTTTTTCTTAAATTTATATTCACGTATGTTAGGTGTTATAGGTAATGAATACTGTAGCATGTTCAGGGCTGGTGCTGGGTATTTTGCTGCCTTGTGCGATCTTTGGAAGTCATGAATTCTATTGCCTGGTGCCTCCCTAATTAAAAAAAGTTTGCCAGCCCCTAATTCTGTTACTTGATGCTTCACTTAACTCTAAATTTTTTGTCATGGGATGTAGCTGCACCAGCTCTGATCATGATTTCAAATCTGCTGAGTTTCACTGTGTTACCTGAAAAACTGCAATATCTTATTGACTAGCTAAGAATACTGACAAAACTGGTTACATGGCCATTAGCTTAAGCCCTTCTATTTCACGTCCTGCTAAGACAGGCATTTGGAAACTCAGCTTTTGACAGTGCAAGGGGAATGATTTCTGCATAGTCTCCAAAGCATGGAGCTTTGAATCCTTTCCAAATCTGCTGAGTTCCCCTATGTTACCTGAAAAACTGCAATATCTTGTTGACTAGCTAAGATTAGTCACAGAACTGATTCCATCTCGATTAGCTTTAGCCCTTCTATTTCACATCCTGCTGAGACAGGAAGAGTGCTGTTTGCTATGCTTACCAAACTTTTCCTCATAATCTTTCTTCTACCTTCCCTGCTGCTCTGCCAACAAAAGAAAACCAGTATAAGCAATATCCCACTCCAGACAAGTATGTCTTGAGATGTCATATAGAAGAATGCTGCCCCATCCCACACACACTAATACTCAAGTACAACATCAGTCAGTATACTGCCATTGGTCAGGGCAATTTCCCTTATCAGTAGGTGTTTGAAAGTAACATGCTGAATATCTCAGTTATTTGGCAGATAAATTGCCTTTACAGCACAACTTTTCTTGTGCTATTGTATTTTTCATTCCTAGACTTCGTAAAGGGAAAAAAATGATGTTTTCCCGAGATACTGATTTTAGTATTATATATTTTTTTTAATTTTTATGATATTTTAAAATTAATATATCATTCTAATATTTTATAGATTGTTTTCACATTTTATTGAAGTCTAGTGTTCAGATGAAATAAAAGTTAATAATTATTTACTGGAAAGTGTATGATATCAAACTGTATGAGTACTTTTTTTTTTTTTTTTGTAGATCTTATTGTCGCGACTGCATTCATCTGCTACTTAGCCCAGAAGCAGCTGTCAAGGTGTGGTGTGTGTGTGTATTTATAATATTTAGACGTAATTTCTATTTTTTACGGAAATTCTAATCTTGATATTACAAAACACTTTTTAGATTTTGGAAACTTCACCATGGTTTTGTTTCTTTTGCTGTCCTGAGCATAAAGAAAATGGCTTACTAGAGATACACTCAGACTGGGAACAGAGGATAGTTTCTTTATTTTTACCAAATAAGCTTTGTGTTGATGTACCTATGGAGGAATATGTAAATAAAAGACCTCTAACAGTTCTCTCTCTGTTTGATGGCATAAGCACTGGTATCATTTACTTAATATATTTAGTCTACATTTTAGATAATATTGTATGTAATGAATTATTTTTAAGCTTTATTCAAATTTTTTAGATCAAAAGTGTTGAAACTATTTATGCTGAAAGGCTATAATGTATTTAATGATGTCACTATGTGGTTGTGCACTAGAACTTGAATATGTACATATAAACAAAGATAAGTTAATTCTTAATTGCAAACAAATATTATTTATTAGTTAATAAATCAATAATTATATTCTACATTTATATTGTACAAGAGAGTTACAGAGTAGTACAGATGTTTGTAAGTATCTGTTTAATTTTTGTTTAATGTTTTTTTGCAGTAGATTTCTTGTAAAGTTCATTTAATTCTGTGCAGTTGTTGACTTCTGTTCTAGAAAATGTGCTGTTTAAAATTAATTGTTCCGATTAATTGCCAGTGCAAAAAAGTCAATCTTTATGTTGAAAAAGGTCACATATCCCAAAAAGCAACTTTATGGAAGTTACAGAAAACTGTTTATAAGGGTTTAAACTTGTTTATAAGAGTTTTAGCTACATGAAGAGATGGCTTTCCATATAAATTTGTTTTTCATATTTTTCTGCTGTATGAAAGGTAATATTTTAGTATTAAATCTGTTGCAATAAATCATGTAATATCATTCAGTGTAATAGGAATACCATATTTCTTCAAAACAAAATGCAAGCAGAGCTGTTAAATAGAAAAATTGTTTGCCATCAAATAATTCTTTACTTTATCAAATTTTCAGAAAAAGGAACATTCTGTTAAAAATGTAGTGCCATTTCTTAGTTCATAGAATTCAGTTCATCAGTTCCTTTACTTCAAAATTACTTCTGTGGTTATATTTAAAATTTTTCCTTTAAAGTTGAGAAAGGGTTTTGAAACAATTTTAAGTTTCTTAAGCATATAAGATTAATAATTTACTGAATTGGTTTTGAGAAAAATCTTTAGTATTTTGGAATAAGAGTGGTAAAAGGAAAGGAAATTTCATTTTGGCCCAAATCAATGAGAGGGAAGATGAAAAATTCATTTTGAGAGCAAGTACTTCAGAAGGTTTTTGTGTTGTGTGACACTATTATTCAGTAGTCAGTCACTTCTGAAAGAAGTTTGTGGTCAAATTTGCAAAATTCTTCCAGTTTTACTCTTGTTGCAAAATAGGAAGATGGTTTTATATTTTAATGAGACCCATTTCTATGTTAAGCTACAATGAGAAACAACAGTTAAATAAGACCTTTTCATGCTCCATTGTGAATAACAGGACTACAGCTAATTCTTCAATTTTCTGTGCTCAGTTTTTGCTGCAACTGTGTCTTGTCTTCTCATTTTTCTAAAGTTTATACTTGTGTTATTTGCACAGTTCAATACAATTTAATTTTCCTTACTAAACATTTTAAAAGTTTTAATAGCATGTTATAGTATCTATTCTCTGTCATGTTAAATCATCACATTCTGTCAGTTATATTTTACTCCCAGGCGTGGAACAATATCCTAGCTGGAACAGAAATGTGGTATCTTATCTTAGCTGTTATAGGCAGTAAATGCAGCAACATAATTTACACTGTTTAATTTTGAATTTATTTGTGGTAAAAGCCGTAATTACATATTTAGCTGTAACTGGGTGTATTAAATTTTATAAAAATACAGTATGGAGATTGATGGAACATTTAAAGCACAAGCTCCATATACTATAATCGTGTTACAGGAACCTTGCCATTCATGTTAGCGAAATGAATAAGGCAGTTCACTGAAAAGGCATGAAATTATTCATAATTGTTAAACTTATGAATGCAGTTTTGGGTGATATTAAAGAGTTCCAAAGGAATGGTTTTGAAAAATTACAAGAAATAAGCAGAACTATTAAATAAACAGGTTATTGTTCTCTTCAGAGATAACAGATTAGATATATGAAATACAGAATTGTGTTCATATAAAAGTAGGTATATTTCCATCTTAGGAGCAGAAATCATCTCGATAAACTGTGTCAGTGTTGGAATAGATGCTGCTATTATGTATTTGAGAAAACGATTTGAACAATTAAGTCATTGCTTTGACATCTTGAGTGATATTTTCTGTATTAAGAATGTGTCGAAATAGGGGAAACTTGGGGAGAGACCTTTAAAACTGTTATTCTCCATATCATCACAAAATATGTACAACTATCTATCAGATATTTCAGTATATCATGTAAGAAATTTCGAGAACATTTTTACAAATATGTCATTTGCTTTGAGAATTTGTTTGAGTATATTAATGTTTAGAGCCTCAAAAGAATGCAGCTTTTTGAAGATAAACCTAAAAGTGATTTATTATCTTCAATGAATGATGAGTGAGTAAGATATTTCTGTGAGAGTAAAAGAAAAATCTATCACTAATTTCACAGTGATAGTAGCAGAAGAGCATGTTATTAATTTCATAGTGGTAGTTGCAGAAAGGCTTGTTATGAAAGCATGTTTACTGGACATTAATAAGTTGGTTGTTTGCTACTCGAAAAAACAAGAGGTATGAAAATTTAAGTGTGTAATTTGGAATATTCCAAAGGGATATGAGATTTAAAAAAAAACAGAAAATTATATGATTTCTAAATTTATGCAACACAGTTCTTAAAATGATGGTAGTTTTAAGTAAACTAATTTCAAAGAAATCAGACTATATATGTTTAATTAAAGACTTACACTGTAATATGAAAATCAAGAAAATAGGAATGGCCCAAAAGTAATGTTTTGTGCAATGTAATGAATCAGCATTATCTCTCTCTCATGTGTTGTAAAGTTCTGTGTACTGGAATTAAGTGTATTGAAATTTTTAATTAAATGAAAATGTATTTCATTTTTAAAGATTTCTTTCAATCAGGTTACTGTGCATTTTAGTTAACATCACTCAAGTGCTGCAGTGGTATTTTAATGTATTATAGTATATTTGGCTTAAGATTCTGAAAGTTGCTATTATGCAAAAAAAAAAAGGTACTCAAATACTAGTAATTTTATCTTCAAAATAAAATAAATGCCTGTGATAAATTATATAATATTCTGAACAGGCTGTAGAAAATGGAGTTTTAAAGCTGACCCCATGATTGTAAGTTTAACATGTTGAGTGCTGCATGCATGTTGGAATTCATGTTAGAACCATGGTTTGCCCATGGTTCCAACTTTTTTTTCTTGCTATTTAATGTATATTATGTTGAAATAGTATCTACAGAAGATAAGGTGAGTTATATAATCATGTTTAATGCATTTTTTCATGCTGGGGGACACCAGTGACCCCAGAGGCACTGTAGACCATTTTGCAATTTATTATTTAAATTTTTGCCATTTATTATTCTTCAAACCATTATAGTAACAGTGATACCCTCCATGAATTTCCTTAAAGCATCTTCATATTTGTTCCATTTTATTATCCCTAGAAATCAGTTGTTTTTATATTTTGTGATACTTCTTTTCAGGTTTTATTTAAATATTGACTGGTTCTACATTCTGATACTAAAATGGCCCTTTAAGAATAGCTAAGTATTTTCTTCTCAGAATACTATTTGCTTCTGAGAGAGTAACTTTCTTTTGCCAGTGTTGCTGTGTTTTTTTTAGCAGAAAACCCAGTATTTTATATAGTTTTGATCCCCAAAATGATGCTAACTCTTTTATCCATTGAAAACAAGATGTATGGTCCTTCGTGTAATTTTGTATCTTTCAGCTTCTTTTGCAAAATTGTTTTGTTTCTATTTTATTACTTAGCCACTGAAAGGACTGCATTATATTTCTGAGCATCCATTATTGCTATTTTTAATTTCTGTATACAGTGTTGCTCTTTTCTTTCACCCATTGTCCTGTAAAAACATATAATTAGCATATCAACAAAACTAACTATTGGCTGACCTAGTAGTAGATTACTAGTATACAAACAGTGAGTTATATAGTCCACTTCTGGTTTTGATAAAGTACAGAAAAATGCATTAGCATGTAAATTAAATATCACATCTTATGATACAGAAATAATATAATTTTCAAACTGTTAAAATAGTGGGCCAGGTGACCCACCACTATTGCACTTTGAAAATAATGATTCAGGAGTTGGAATCCCTTCAGAATTACAATAACCTATGTTGCTATTTGTCAACAGAAATTTAGATTACTTTTTACACCTGTCACGTTTTGTGTTTTCTGTCATTTTTCTTTTTAGAAACATCTCCTTCTGGAGGCCAATGCAGGAAAAACTGGGAACTTGCTGGCTAGGATCTGTACCTAGGCAGTCTCGACCATGGGGACTGTATAAAATCATGAGCTTGGCTGTTCCTCGTGATCTGTGAGGTGAGATTTGTCCTTGTTTATTCGAGTGGCCCACAGGATGAGCTGGTATAAACCCTTTGTAAGACCAGTGTGGCATCAGGCCTTATGTGTTATACTGGCAGGCAGTATTTCTTATGGCCAGTCAGACTTCCAGACGAATAGGTCATGCCTGACAAGAAACAAGAACAAGGAGTGGTGACCCTTGGGTCTGGTTTGAAAGTGACATTAGGGAGGATTTACGAAGTTCATTGAATCCAGAATTGGGACCCCAGTTGATTTGCAAAGAAATTTGTTTCACCTCCCAGATGGCATATGGCTGGACTACCTCCTTTTGCCTAATATGGGATTTTCAGCTGGAACTCTAATCTGGGAAGTTGCATTTAGTTGCACAAGCACGTAGAAAGTTTGTTGTGGTTATTAGAAACATAATACATACAGTGAACATGCATCTGTGTTCTAAGCATGTAGTTCTTAGTTACGTTCATAGATGTCATCACATGCTGTATTTCCATGAAAATGTAGCTGATGGCATGGTAGCATTGTCAAATTATGTATATTATGTTCAAACTCAATTACTGAGGTATGTATACAGCTAACCCGAGTCCTCTTTAGCAGGGTATTGCATCATCCCATGCTGCAGTACCAGCCACAGCATAGTCTGGGTTGAATCTTAACAGACACCTAATATTGTCCTGTAGCAGATGAACCCATACCTATTATATGCTATACTCTAAATCTTGAATATTATGGATGGGTGCAGGTGGTGCACCCTCTGCTTTAGACATGCTTCATGTGGAGGTGGCTAGCCATGGAAATGTCTGCACATGGCATAAGCAATCCTGAACAATTTGTGCCAGATGTAGTCAAGCATTATTCTGCTAATAATGCTCTAAGACTCTTGGTGAGGCATGCGAGTACATGCCATACACTTGCATTCGCATACCACTGGACTGTCAGTGTGTTAAGAACCACTACTAGAGTGGCCATGGCTGTTGTATATCATGATGTCAGCTGATCATGAGACTTATGCCTTTTGTCAGCAGGTCTGGAATTGTACTGCTGCCTATCAGATTGTACCACTGCCCTGACCCCCCCCCCACTCTATATGATAGTCATCCTGTCCTAAACTTATAGCCGAATAATTATGGATTGCTGTTTGATGGCATTACCTTGCTGTGTTCTAACATCATTCAAAATGGAGCCACCAGTGTTCCAGTGTTAAAGGCAAATTAATTGAAAGGCACTTATGTAATGCATTTGCTTCTTAGAAGTGTTTCATTATGGTTTTCATGCTTACTTGAGCCGCGTACAGCTGCCTGCATAGTAAATTGCTTTGCCATTAGATCCGTTACCTGCCTGACAAATATATATATATTTTTTATTTTCTGTCTATAGGTGGTCTGTGTGGTCCTTTCTGAACTAGTTGGCCACTATTGTGTTTGATTCCCTCACGTATCTACTGTTGCCAACACTGACGAATGATATTGTCTGAACAATTACAGTGACAGACTGTTTGATGTGCCAGCCACCTTGTGGTTTTCGTTCTGATGATAAGGGCTGTCTGGAAATCTGTTCAGTGCTGAAATAGTTGTCTCCGCGACTAGATGTCGTTACTTAAATTTACTGCCTCACGATTGCAGCACCACAGTAGGGTGCATGACCATTCAGGATTGCATCAAATTCAGATCATTTGCTTACCAGTATGCATTCTAGACATTTGCATACTTCTGCATTCATCATGGTACGGTTTCTTCAAAATGCGCTGATTTCATTGACCATGACTGTATTTCGCAGATTTTAATTTATGAATTATGCATCATTTGTAGATTCATATCTATTGTTTAGAAGCATTTACTTTTCAGGTTAAGAAAATTATCCTTTTCCATTACCACATCTCTAATCTAACATTAGGTATGAAATTAGGTAACATATGAAAATATGCAGCTCTGATTGCAATTTGAATAAATATTTCTTTTTGACTATCATGTAGATATTTTAGAGTTGTGTTATGGTGGAAGAGTCATTAAATGCTTATTACTAATAATTAAATTCTGATTTTGATTCTAATGATTCTAATATGTGATGTATATGTTGTCAAATCTTAATTTAATGTTTGTCTTTATTTTTCAAATTTTTTCCAACAGAAACTCAGCGTAAAATCTGTATTAAAAATTTATCCTGATGCATATTTTATTGTAAAAATACAGTATTTGATATAGTATATACCGTGTAGAATTTATGTTAATGTTGTCATTAAAGACTGTTGTTAGCTTGGTTTTTGGAGAGACTAAACTTATATGCAGATTTTAAATTGCATGGAGCCCTAACCTAGCATTGTATAAAGATCTGTTGCTTTTAGTATTTAACAAAGACATAACCTTTTGAAATAGAAGCCACAAGTCTTGACTTTCATTTTATAGATTTTCTTTAAAATAACTACGGATTTACTCTTTAAACTCTGAACCAGCAGAATTATAATAGATTCAGCAGTAGTTATTTCCTGAAGGCAGGGAAATGAATTAAATTTTAAGTGCCTTAAATCTGCAGCCTAAATCTCAATCATATTCCAGTCTGCTTTGAATGAAACAATGTGATACACCTCTAACTAAACTAAACTCAGTGTCGCAACAGAACTTATGAGCCATTGTCGCAACAGCTCCAAGTGAGCCATTGTCGCAACAGCTCTAAGTGAGCCATGGCCTACAGTGCCCTGATATCTGATTTCTTGACTGTTGGACCAGGGCTGGACGAGCATATATGTGGGACAAGTAGTCATCTTGTCACAGTGATACACCTTATTTTATCCAAATTGCATTTATATCCTTTTGATAATATAATTATTTGTATATTTGTTGCAGCTATGTAAATTTGTCTTAATTAAAAAAGGGGTTCTTTCAAATATAATATTGCTTAAATAATACTACCGTATTTGACGGCATATAAGACACACTTTTTTTCCTAAATTTGGTCTCAAAAAAGTTACCTGCGTCTTAATGTGAAGGACACAGTCTTATACGTGAAGGTAATTGCATTCAATAATTGTTTATTTGTCTTTTACGAAATGTGAGAACTAAAAGAAACCACGCTATTGAAACTTTTTTTTCCTTGTGTGTGGCCGTCTAAATAAGGGTGCGTCTTATATGTCATCAAATACGGTAATTAAATAAATACTATATTTGTTAATATTTTTGAAGAAATCCTGTTAACAGCTTTTCTACTTACAAATACTATGTTGAATATGTTCTACAGAAAATGGAGTATGTATTTATTGTCTTTCATATTGATGATGAGAAATATGCTAAATGAGTGCTACTAAATTATTGCTATAGTAGAAGATTTTTTTCCCATTTATTTAATTAGGAAAACTAGCTCTGGATTCTCTTGGTATAGGGATAAGTAAATACTATGCAAGTGAAATTGATGAGGAAGCAATTACAATCTCTAAGCTTAATCATAAAGATAATATCATTCATCTTGGGAATGTTAAAAATCTCTGTGAAGAAAAGGTAATGTGTGACTTTAAAAATTCTCATAAACAGGTGTCTGATTAAATTTTTTTATTTATAGCTCAAATTAAATCTCTCTATTTTTAGCTCAAATGTATTTGTCCCATTGACATAGTGATTGGAGGGTCACCTTGTAATGATTTATCTCTTGCAAATCCTGCTAGAAAAGGTTTATATGGTAATTTCTTTTAATATAATCAGTAACATATTTTCTTCCATTTTATTTGTGATTACTGTAAAATTAATTTTAGACATATCTTATACTGAAAATATTTTGCATTTTAAAATAGCTGCTTTAAGATATACTGTTTTGCTTTCATTTGCTTGTACTTCTTTTTATCTTATTCACTAGAAGCATTAAACAGACAGGGACTTCTACAATTTTATATAGTAGTTAAACTTCTAACTATTATTTATTTTTCTTTGTGTGGATGTATTTCTCTAATATTTGTAAAATCACTTCTAAATATATTTATTATTTCAGATTTCACTGGTACTGGAAATCTTTTTTTTGATTTCTTCCACATTTTGAGAACTGTGCAGAGGTTGAACGGAAGAAGACATCTTTTCTTTTTATTTGAAAATGTAGCCTCAATGCGTAAAAGGGATAGAGCAATTATATCAAAATTTTTAATGGTTTGTTGATATTTTTCAACTGTTGATTTAAAATGTATTAAAAAATAAACTAACTAATCATAAGTTAAAATATTCATGTTTACTATTTAAAAATATTTTAATTTAAAATTAATATTTTTTAGAAGATTAAATATTTTAATTTTCATTATTGACACTTTTGGTTTACAGCTAAATTTTGATATGCTTCCTGTTCATCCAGCAGAGCTAAGCTTCAAATCTTTCAAATTACATTCTTAAAGAAAATTGCAAGAGCCCCTTAGTTTGTTCTAAGTGAACTAGGCAGAGATCTAAAAATAGATCATATCAAAGGTCATATTCGTAAGCATAATAGAAACATTTCCAATAAAAGTAGTGAATTGGTCCATAACTATGCACGCAATTTCAATTACAATCTCATAGTAGCTGATTATAATGTTAAACCCTATACCATCTACTTCCTCAGAGATCAATCTCAGGGAAGCAAACTTCTGACAATATGGATCTTATTTCATGTCTACTCAGAGAATTTGAGAATCCCATTGTTCAGGTTACTTGTATTCTGAAAATAATTTGTATTTATTTCTGTTTTTATATTTGTCTCAGAAAAGTCCACATCTAACTAATGTTTCTTACTTTTAATACATTTACTGTGATTATCCACACATTTGTACCTGTATGCAGATTAATTTTTTCTGCTGTCATTCTGGAAAAAACGAGCAAAGTCAAGCAGCAGTCTCTGAAATCAGTGGATCATAGGGTGACCTTAAAGCAATGCATGACTCTTGAATGAGAGTAATCAAGTTGACTTGATTTTTCAAATGCTGTACATAGCTCGGAATTTTATCCCATATTTATCTTGCATCAAATTTTATTCCTACATTTATACCGCCCTTGTACATATTTTCCTAACTTTATATTTTATACTGTGATATTTGTTTCAAATTTTAATTTTCATTCCTGCAGTTTATCATTCTTAATTACTATATTTTCAGATTTCTTATTGATGTTTCCTATTTTCAAGGCTCATTTGAGTTGCTAGTATTATCACATAAATATTCTGCAAGCAAACTAGCTATTAAGAAAGTATTGAATGAAAAGTTCTTCAATGAGGTGCTGGTAAATGTAAAAAGTAACATTTCTTATATGGTAGATTTATTGGCAAGTAAAATATCAAGCATAACATTCTGTAAAAATTTTGACTGCTTCACTGATGTAGCTAAGCTGGCAGGTGAAAAAATTCCAACATAGGTCATTCCAAAATATTTTCATCGATTCGAATAAATGGAAAGCGCATAGGCTCTGATAATACATATTGTTACAAATTTTTTATTTATTTAGCTATTTTTAGTAGAATTTGTAATTAATTTTTTTTTTATATTCCCTTGCAATGCAACACAAGACTTATTTGAAGAGAAAGCTACACCGGAAAAATTAAAATACAAGATAGCGAGCATTTAACATTTTAATAAATATATATCTCATAATTGTACTCTTTTGCTATCCAGAAAAATCGAGAAAATATCACAGTGTTCTCATGCTGATTAAAAAGCTTATAAAAGTGGAAGGAAAGCATCACAATTCAGTTGTTTTATGAGTTGTTTACTTAGTTCTTGTTGTTGACTGTAGCGAATTGGCAGTCAAATCAGATTAGCTTTCTCTGTTTTGAATTGAGTACTGTTGAAGGTTTTAGTAGTTTAAAATGTAACTACTGTGAGATATTGCGATATTGTATGAATATCTTTGAGGAAATGCAAGCATTTTTTATTTATTCTTGGAATAAGAATAAACTTTATTCAGTTTTCATCGGACTTGTGCATTCAAATTATTATGAACCCATACACACACAACAATATAATGTGATTGTGACAGCAGAAAAAAGCTGTTTGATTGCACACTATTCACAGATTTCACACATAGAAACACAAAAGTAGTATTAATATTTTATAGCAAATGTGGAGAAAAACCTCCTCAATGTTTAGAATTTGTCAATTATGCTAAAACAAGTGCTTTCATTTTTTATATCTTGTACCGGTTTTATTTTTTACGTTTCATCCCATCATTTTTGAGGTTCCCTATCAGTTAGAAAAAAAGTGCAAATCATCGTCCAGGCCATTGCCATCGTCCAAGTAGAAAAATCAGTGCTGATCTTGAGAAACTGATTTCATTCCAGATATGTTAACAGTTCTTTGTGATATGCAGTTTTTGATCACTGTTGCAAATAACAGACTCTTCATAATGAATATTTTTTAAATATGGCAGATAATTGAAGAATTTTTCTGTATGACATTTTATCCAGTTATTAGCCCCTAAAATCACCTTTTTAATTCGATTACTTCCCCTCTCTATTCTAAAAATAATAAATTGCTTATAATAAATCCATCCAAAATTAATTCCTTCTGTATAATTCTTGCATAATATCAGTGATACATATATGTACATAATGACAAAATATTATAATATTCAAAAGTATTCAAATCAAAGCCTGACCAATGCCAAACCCTCATTTATGTCTATCTAATGAGAATTAAAGCTAATTTACCATTTATTAATCTGCAATGATAATGTACTCTGTCCTTTTTTAATGTTTGCTTAGTGAACATGTCATCTGCATTTTTTAAAAAAATATTTTGAATTGTAATATAAATGTATGAAATGTATTCTAGAAAATACTGAACATCAAGTGCACCCATCTCAGCATTTGCATTGTTGTTATATTTCATTATTTTTTCAAATTTTTATTTAATGAAGATCTCCAAAATCTATAACTGTGTGTTGAAATGAGTGTCCAGTTTCATCATTAGGTGCATATGCATATATAAGTAATGCCTAAGAAATTAGCTGCAGTAGGATCTTCCCCAAACTATTAAGTGGTATGATGTTATGCCATATATATGGATATAGATTATTAGAATGTGAGTTCTGTGTTTGTTTAAATTCTGCTAGGTATTTATGTTATATGTATAATTTTTTAGTGTGAACCATATTTGATTGATGCAAAATATTTTTCTGCTCAATGTCGGCCACGATATTTTTGGGGAAATATTCCTGGAATGCAATCGTAAGTAAAGCATTATGTTTACATCTAGTATTTGTAATTCTAATGCCAAAATTTATATTTTTTACTGTCAATATATTTATTTCATGTGATTCTTCCTGCTTTAAATTGTAAGTAGCAGAATTTTATTAATATATATATTAGGCATCAAACTTTTAAGAATCTGCATCCATTATGGTAACATAGCATGGTATCTCGATTTGATAAAGTATTATGCCCACCATTTGCCAAGTGAATAAGACCACTGAACACTTTTTTTTCAAACCAAAACTCAAATTCCAGCAAATTGGCTTGCTGCATAGGTGTTTTGTGTGACTAGTTTAACTGGATGAGTTTTAGTTTACCGGTACACCATGTATAACATGAATAAAAAGCTATTTATCATAGGAAATCCTGTATGAGGATATCCCTATGTGCAGTAATTTAGCAGTTCTTCATTTTACTAATAATAATGCTATATGATTGCCAGTTTGTGTGCACTTTCTCAAATAGGTAAAGTTGAAAAGTGAAATTTGATTTTTCTTATGACTCCAAAGCAATTACATATAGCACAATGAGCAAAAAAGCAACATATATCTCCAGCAGTACTAAATATACCACTAAAGTTATCCTTACAGAACAAATATTACACATTCAGTTTTGAAAATACAAGGTGCCTTTGAAATGCAAGGTTCAAGGTATAGGAAAATACAAGGTACTTTTGAAAATTCACTTAGGTAATATGCATCATTGAGCTTAAACTTTCAGTTTAAAGCCACTGACTCATTCTCTGAGCTAAGAATCAAAACAGTTACCAAGGTCTCTGAGCTAAGAATCAAAACAGTATGCTAACACATAAGGAAAATCGATTTGAATCTACTTTATCTGGACTGATTTGGTGACAATTGCTTTCCTACATGGTAAGAGTAAGAACAACAGGATTTCGTTTTTGTTATTATTATTAATTCATAGCATCTTTTGAAATGTTCATTTTTTTAGCTTCCAAATGGAAATTTTGGTATCTGCAAAAGTAATTTGACTGCAAATATTGTCAAGGCTTTGCAGATTTGATTAGGCAATATTCTCAAGTGTGCTGGAGCTTAGAGTACTATCACATCTGCAGCGTTTATTAAGTAACAGTATAACAAAATTTGATACACAAATCTAAACAAATGCAAAATACAAAAGAATTCTGTTCTAGTTTGCAGTAACACAAGAAACAAAATGCTTCATGATATTAGAAAACAAATACTACAAATGAACCTACATAACACACAAATATTTATGATAATTTTAAACAATGTATTTTTTCTATATTGTAGGGTCATCCAAAAATTTTGTGCAGTTATTATGCTAAATATATTAATGAAGCAGTACAAATGCATGAAAAAGTTTCATTGAATCATATAAGCACTATTTTGTTCTTTGCCTTTTTTCCATTTCTGCAACACCTGGAAAATTTCATTAAAAAAATCATTAGTATTATTTGTAAAGATGTTGCCAATGTGCTGTTTGACAGTCTCCAAAGAAGTGAATTCAACCCATTTAGAGAGTTTTGAAGTGCCACGAAGAAAGGAAAATCTCAGTAGGTGGAGTCTACTGAATATGAGGAGTGACGTAAAACATTCCAAGCATACTCAACATAAAACATTCCAAGCACTTGTGTGACATTCATCAAAATGTAGTGTAGTCATGATGGTAGACACCTCGATTATTGATGAGTTCTGGCTTCAGTATTTGCTTTTAACACTCATTTTCCAAATTTACTGTTTGATTTGGTAGCAACAATTACTAGTATGCAATTCCTTTGTGGCCTCACCATACAGTAAGCTTTAGTTTTTTTGGAGATATAGCCCCTCTCTCGATGTTACTGCCAGAGCTTCTTTGACCATTCCTTAGGATCATTATCATATAATATCTACTTCTAATCTCTGGTAATGAACTGTATTAAAAAAGGAGCTTCTTATTTCTTTTCAGCTAAGAATTACATGCTAAAACTTGAGAAAATATATTCTGCTATGTTTATGGTGCTCAAGCATCATAGCAGCTTACAATACTCAGGATTCTTCAGATTATCTACTATATTTTTTTAATATTTAATCTGTTTGATAGTTTCTGAACTATATAATGGGGATTTTTCAGCAACAGCTCCTTTTAATCTGTTCTTGTGTTTACTGAGAATTGTCATCTGGAGCATCCATCTGCTTCGAGTCTAAAATTTCTATACTTAAATTTCTCAAATCATTTTCAAATTGTATCAGCAAAAACAATACTTTGCCCATATAGTGTGCAGATTTTACTGGCAGTCTGAGTGGCATTTTTATTAGTCCAAAGGGGCTTTGTTCCTGAAGGACTATTGTATTCGTTTTAATCACTATAAATGTCCGTTTCACTTTTCAAACTGTTGCCACCAAATGTTAGAGTCCTGCATTATATTTGAAGAAATTAAATAAGGAAAAATCTGCATAAATGTATGTATATTTCTCACATTGTGATAAAACAACAGTACATAGAGCCATCAAATTTTGAATGATGCAATCCTACTGCGAATATGAGCATGTGGAAGCCCAAATTTGAAATTTGGAATTTGTTTTATTATTCATTTCATATTTTGTAAAACTTTAGCAAATTTTGAGTAACATACTCAACGATTTGAAAGCGAGTAATGGCAACAATCTACCGGGGGGGTACTTTTTTGTCTGCAGTGCATGGAACTGTGTCTCGGAAATTCTAAAGATGGGCTCATTTTAAAATTATTTTGCGACATTACTATTGAACTGAAATGTATGGTTTAAGTGCAAAGAACATGATTCTTAATAAATAAAGGTAACACGCAAAATGTTAAAAAAAATGCCCCTTTGGACGTAATTCAAAATCTGAAACCTTTCAGATGTTTTTTTTTTTTTTTTTTTCATCTTTTTTTTCATCTTTTTTAAGTAAGAGCATAATGTGACAAAAATGAGCCTTTGTGTTCTCTATTTTTAGCACTGCGCTGAAACCAAAGTTAAAGTGTAATATATCCTAGAGTTATGCTGCATGAGCAGAAAAGACCATATTTAAGCATCCACTTTGCATGAGGTCACTCCTTATCAGCAGTGACAAAATAATTAGAAAAATGATCACTTCTGTTTGAAAAACTGCAAAAATATTTGGGATGACCCAGTATATTTCAATAGTGAAAGTGCATTTTATGTAGATACTCTATGAATATCTGTCAATTTTCAGGTTTACATATTTCTCTTATCAAAAAGAAGAAATTGTACTTAACCCTTTTCTTTTGAAGCCATTGGGCAGAACAGCTACGGTATGTTTTGAAATTTTTCCTGTATTTAACAAAATATTATGGGGAAGAGAGATTTATGTTGTTACATTGTTGTTTGTCTCTCTTTTCTTTTTAAACACTGGCTTGTGAACAGATTATTTTCCTTTTTATAAGGCAGTGTTTTCTCCAGTAATTATTTTTTATGTTATGTAAGATTATAATAGTGAGTTCATTTACAAATAATTCTAATAACAGCACTCTCTATATTTATGAAATATTGCAGCTTTTGTATAAAATAATTATATCAAACAATTTTAAACTGAAATCTCTGAAACTTCTGTATTTTTATGCTAAATCTGCTCCAAAGTATTTGTTTCACATTGAAATTGCTGGAAAGTTTTCCTTTCAGTATTCATTTATAATACTTGTACTGCATACATTAGTATTAATTTGATTACATTGATTTTAATTAGAGCCATTTATATCTGTTATGTATACAGCTACAGCAACAAAATTATAATAAATGTAATTTGGATATAGCACTATCGCCTATGTTTACAAACACTCCACAGAGAAAATGCAACACTGGAAATTTTGCCTGAGCACTACACAAATTTCAGAATATGCTTAGAGAAACAAGTTTTCATTGAACACATCATTTGGAAATATAATGAAAGGGAAGAAGCAAGACTGTTAACTTTTTATAAATTCCGAAAGAAATTTTTTTTTTTTTTTTTTTTTTTTGTTGTTGTTGTTTTGTATGTCAGGGTTGATTAAGGGGTGAAAATGGTAAAATGGTTCTGAGATACCATCCATAATATTTTCATCGAACTGATGAGGTTGCTGCAAGTTTAGTCATAGGCCAGATATCTAGTTTGTTTCTGTATTATACTGTGGTGGACACTGATTGTGAAGCATAAAATGTGAGTCTGTGGCAGGAATAATAAAAGGTAAAATTCTGGTATCTACTTGTACCTGAATTTTTTGAAGGGAATACTATCATATATGATAAAATTACTGAGATATAGAAAAGATCAGTACTTGATCCCCTCCTAATGGGTACGACGATGGCATGTTATGTTGAGGAAATGCTGCATTTCATTATATCACAATATCTTGTAAATATACCAAATGCTGTTTCCCAGTAGAATAATATGCAACCATAGGAGCAGGCATCTTGCAAAATATCTGGGTGATTCCTTGACTAACATGATCATAAAATCTCTTTTCATTTTAGAATCTGTGGGACATAATCAGTCACACAGTAAATGCCTTCCAGTAATCTCAAACTGAGAATAAATTGGGAACTTTGGTCACTACTTCCTGGATAACTATACAGTAAACCAGTGCAGAATGAGAGCAGTTTTTTTAATCAGACCGTTTTCCCTAAACTATTGGCCATGCTACTTATTAAATAACTTGTATGGTTAGCTATTGGGTATTTGTTATTATTTTATATTAAAAGAATTTTGTTAGAACATACTTTTCTACCTGTGTGCTGAATTTTGTTATTTGAAGAATTTTTTCATGCTGTTGTATGGTTTTATGGTGTGCTCATTCTCTTTGGAGCAGCATGTATATGCATCCTAACTTAATTCATATATTTTTTGTAGAAGTGAAAAGTTAAATTTCCATTTGATAAGGTATAACAATAAATTGTGATTTTGATCACAAAATTGATATCTAAAGGAATTAAAAATATAAGTTTTTCAGAATCTTGGAATTATATAATGCAGCAATTTTTTTAGTAAATAATTGTGAGACTTGGTGTAATGAATTTCAGTAAATAAGTTTTAACAGCAAGAAATAAAATGCATGAAATCACATTGCCACGAAATTTAATAAGTGAAATAATGGTACGGTTTTAGTTCTGGAAAAGTTTTGGCATAGTTTTGTTATGAAATGGTATGGACAGAATGTTACAGAAATTACCTGTTCAAGAAAATAATTGAGTTCAATTCATATTGCAAATGAAGTAAAAGAGATCTGTCTTGCTTTATTTTTAAGCAGTGTCAGTGATATTCAAACATAGAGCTTTCATTTCTAACTGATTGTGGATAATAACATAATTAGCCTTTCCAATTATCAAAATGCATGAAAATCAAATATAACAAACAAGTAATGTAGGTTACCCTAGATGGTATGACAGTTAGTCAGTGTTAACTACACATGCATTTGCATCAGAATTTGACATAACATTGTTAGTGAATGAGGACCCTTTCCCCTTCGCGCCGACTGTCACGTATACGTGCCAGCAATGAACACACTTACCTACTGGCCGACACACAGGCGTGCCAGAGCATTGTTGCGTTCTCTACCTACTGTCACCTATTTGTGCCAGTACCTTGGAACGTTTTTCAAACTATAATTTCTGCCACAAGATGGCACTGTATGTCCATATGGTTTCAGATACATGTACATTAGACCTTCTACTCGAAATGAGAGAAGCATGACTCACATACACGTGTTTTTGATTATATAAACAAACGGGGAACTAAATGTTTCCGAATGGCGTGATTTATGACGTCTCTTTAAATCGCACTTTATTCGCACGTGGTAGTTGTTTATTGTAAGTAGAAGTTTTATATGCGCTAAAGCGTTGAGTATTTCGGTTTACAGTTCAGTTTTTAGAAAATAATTAGATCTTGTTAGACGTGAATTCTTTCTGTTTTTTACCGTTGCAATGTCGAAGCGTCGAAAATGTTTAACAGAGCATGAAATAGCAGAAATGATGCAAAATATTTCAGATATTGATTCTGAAATTCTGATATTGATTCTGAAAGATTAACTGAAAGACATTTTCCAAAACTTTGTTCAGAAGAGACTGATAAGAAAATGAGACGACGATGCTTCGTTTGTTCACATTCCCGGAAAAATCCTCCAAAACGGCAAATGAGTTATTACGAGTTCAAGGAATGTAACGTAGGACTGTGTGTAGATCCCTGTTTTAAAATTTTTCATACGAAAAGAGAATTTTAAGTAATATATTTAGTTTTCAGATGTATAATGTTAAAAGTCATAAAATGGTGAGTAATTAAAATAAAATGTGTAAAATATGCATTTAAACAAGAAATAAGGTAATTGAAGTATATATATAAAAATATCTATAAAGCATAAGCCGTTTAAATACTCTATAGAGCATTATTAAACAATGCGTTGATACTTCGGAAATTTCATGGATTTAGGCTTAGTAGCAAAAAAGCCCCCGGCCCTGGAGAGACGCTCGCGGAAGACACTGCCGGCCTCCGCGATAAGCGCGCGTTTTCGCTACCCAGCTCGAAGGGGTTAAAGCTCTTAATCTAAAATATGTATATGCTTTAAACAGAATGATAATATTCATCTTCAGAAAGCCCTGCAGCACTAAACCTTCTCTAGCAGAGAAGGCAGGTGTTGGGTATATAGGCATAGTGTTGGCTATATAGGCTGTTGATATTTGAAAAAGATGCCTGTATTTCTCATTGGAGAATAATATTTAATAGTTTTTTCTAATTCTTGTAATTAACCGCGCAGAAGCAAGACTTAGACTATACATCAGTTACTGCATGTCATTTTACTCCAGTTTTAGATATACAGTCAAAAGTCGTTAATCCGGACACCCATAATCCCGAATGATCTATAATCCGGACCACAAAGCTACAAACTTTCTGTGCATGCGTCAACGAAAATACGTTGACGCTTGTGCGTAATACCTTTTCGCCTATGCATATGCGAGTACGCATGCGCATAATACGTTTACGCATGCACGTTTAATGTATAACGGACGGTATAAGCTAAGCTAAGTTAAAATTATCTAATTATCTATTTCAGTTAATGTCGCAGACTGTGTTGTTCCTTAATCTTCGAATTGGATCCGGCTTATTATTTTTTGCAGACAGTTAGAACAATTTTATAAAAGTAAGTTGGAACCTTCGATTATGTCAAATAGAATTTCCGATGCTGGAGCTGCCAAAGAAATCTACAAAGCGAAAGTATGCTTCCATGTCCATCAAACAAAAAGTGGAATTGCTACAAAAAATGGATAAAGGCATATCCTTTGTTTATCTAACCATTCCGAAATCTGTTTATCAATTTCACGCTGCTCTGCGCGGGGGGGGGATGTCGCGCCGCGCAATGAACTGAAAGTTGATCTGTCAGCACTATCCTTATCTTCAGGGCAGATGTTTTTATTTTATTTGGCTTATAATTCCTTACTAAATGTAGTATTTCATCTCGATGTACTCCGTCTTTGATATGATTTAAATCAAATTCCTCATCATTATAAATATCACGGATACAAATCAAATAGTTTGCTGGTTGCAATTTTCTAAGTTCGGCTATGTGTAATGTATGCTTTACGCATGTGCACGTTGAAAGAAATGTTTAATAAAGTAAACAAATAAAATATTAAGCTTTTTTTTTTGTAAATTTTGATACTCTTTAGATCATAATTGCTCTTTATTTCATAAATTACGGTTTCATATTTTTAATTTTATAATTTCTGCATGCCATTTTGCCAGATTTAAACTGATGATCTATAAGCTGGAAAAATCGATAATCCGAAATCGCCGAAATCCCGACAAGTCCGGATTAAAGACTTTTGACTGTGTTATGAATATTGTTATGAATTTTGTACATAGAGAGATGATTTTAGTGTAATTATATGTGAAATTGCATTTTTTCTGTGTAATTCAGCATGAAATCTAGTGTTATGAGCTTTGCCGGAAAAATAAGAATACAGGGGCAAGTCTACCTAACTTTGAGTAAATGGCTATCTTGCTAATTTCGCGATACATCGCCAAGCTGGCAACGCTTTTAGCGACTATTTTTTCAAATTTGGCGACCATTTGGCAACATTTTAGTCAGGTTTCTGTATGACCATAATAAGTATCGTAATTGAATAACTAATTGATTTCCTCTGCAACTGTAACCCTATCTATACCTTCCAGCAATTCGAGAAGCAGAAAATGCTAGAAATATCTGAGCGGCCAGGTGAAAACTATGTAAGACCATAGAGAGAATCAGTACCTCAGTATTCTCATTTTGAAATCTTTCCTAGACCTCAGATACTTCTCGGTCAAACAAGGTGACTATAATACAAACTCCCATACCATCCGTGGAGGAATTGCACAAGGCAGTATCCTTTTACCTGTGCTTTATTTCATTTACATCCATGATTTTCCTAAGTTTGAAGCCGATCATAATTCTTTACTCGCCTGCTACGCAGACAGACGATACTGCACTAATCCAGAAATCCTGAAGCCCTGACCTTGCCATTCATAAACTTCATGAAAAAAATGTTTACCATCCAAGAGTGGTGCATGGAGAACAACATTAACCCCGAGAAATCTGAAATCCTGCTCATACGAAAATACAGGTGTAAGGATCATATCAATAGCTTAGTTACTCTTTTCGGCCAACAAATCGCAATTGTACATAAAGCGAAATATTCAGGAATTCACTTTCAGTAGATCTTTCACCTGGACCAACCACATTAACGAAGTAAAAGGAAAAATATTTGGACTCCTTAGAAAACTACTGTTTATTCCTGGATACTTCCGGACTTACACTTTCAAGAAAAAAGAGAACTTCTATCATCCGACCTATCTTCTCCTGCAACTCTTCTGTGTGGGCAAACACCAAGAAGTCTGATGTTGACAAATTACAAGTAATTCAAAATGAATTTTTAAGAATCGTAACTGGAGTGCCTTACTTCATCAGAAACAGAAACCTTTACCATGACCTACGAATCGACTACATTCAAGACCACTTCAATAAACTCAATGAAAAGTTTTTCAAGAAAGCTACAAGAAATAACCATGCTAAATTTTCAAATATTTTAGATTATGAAATCCTGGAAGAAGATTACTTTAACAGACCCTATGCTGCACATATCATGAATATGATCAACGCCAATATCTAGCATCTACCCAGCTATTATCTATAGGAAATCCTCATACAGCTTACTGTAGGACTTTAATTTTCTTCAATTTTTAGCCTTGTGGTAAGACATGCTGCTACAGATCCAGAGTTCAATGGTTTGAAGCTCCGCCGTATCATATTTGTGATATCAATGCTACTTCAGCTTCACCTGTGTTCTACAGGACTTTCTATTACTTTTAACATCATTTCCTGATTTTTGCAAGCATTGTTTTAGAAGGTATTCATTTTAATGTAATTATCATTGCTCGCCATCACAACCATCTCTTATGCTCATCACCGCCATATTACTGACATCTCTCTCAGGTCCGCGTTGCTGCGCTCAAGTACCAAGCTCCCTCCTGATTCACCAGCTCCTGAGCCCGGCTTTCTGCTGACTGAATCCAGCTCTTTTCTCACCATTTCCACCGCCACCAGATGGTGACACGTGCAAGAACTTTTGTCGACTTTTTTTCTCTTGTCTAGCCTCCTTCTGATATCTCTCCTACTTCTGGATCTACCTGAGTTCCCCTCAAAGTCAAGTCCTTCAGGAAGTCTCTCCTGTTACTGAGAAGTACTGCTATTATGCAGTAGAAACCCAGTATAACCACCTTAGTATCTTAATACCTCAGTTGTAGTTAGTTCAGTGTGAGTTCAGAGTTCTGAGATATCTCCAGATTAGCTTAGGGGCCCACCAGCGGCCGAGCGGTAAAGTCGCTGAACACTGGTACTTCGGTCCGAGGTTCGAATCCCGCGAACGGACTGGCTGCATAGGTGTTTTCGTGGTTTTCCCCATGTGTAACGTGTATACGAACCAGTTTCCCTTAGAAAGTCCTCCATGAAGGCATCCCTACCCTTAGGCAGATAGCCCTAGTGTGCTTTGCCATAATTAAATATACCAACACCAACACCAGATTAGCTTAGCTCTTTAGATGCACCTTTTTGCATTGTATTTTATTTAGCATCTATAGTAATTTGAAAGGTAACTACTGATTGTACTCTGTGATACTGTGAAAAGTTGTATGACTAATATTCTTCGAAGTTCCAGAACTCTGGACTGTTTCTTTTGATAAAATTAATTTTATCACCATATTGGGCTTGTGTGCATTCAATCTGTTACGAGCTCATACGCACGCAGTAATATTTTCAAGACCTTTCATATGGAATAACATTTACAAAAATAATTTCGAATAGTATGTTATATACTACATGAGCTAGCAAATAAATAATTATTTTTTAGCTGTTTTGCTTACTGTCATTTCATTGTTTGGCCATTTATGAACTTATTTGATAGTAAAGTTTTCAATTAATATAAAAATTAATAAACATAACATTAGCAAATGACTTTAGCAATCTTTATTCTTTGTTTTCAATAGCCTGTAAAGAAAATCCTTTTTGTATGGATTGCACTGTATTAAATATTTAACTTTTGCACTTTTTCAGGTTGATAAAATAAGAACAGTAACTACTCAGAAAAATTCTTTAATCCAAGACCAAGGCAGTCTTATGCCTGTGGAAATGAATGGATTACCAGATGTACTGTGGGTTACTGAGCTTGAAATGTAATATTTTCTAATATGTTTGCATTATTTTCTGATAAATTTTGTATTATTTAAAATATAAATATATGTATGTGTGCATGTGTTTTGAAAAGGTTATTCAAATAATTACAAGCATTCTGCTGTAACTAGCAAAATGCAACTAAGTTAATTGAAGCCAATAAATCAGCATATAAATTTAATGCTTAACTAGCGATTAAAAATGGCAGTATTATAAGAAGGTGGTTCAGGTTCCATAAAGGGAAAACAGAATATATTTTAAAGTGTCCAGATCATGCCAAATAACACAATAAATGCCATTAATGAAATCCTCCATTATTTTCCTTCAGGTGCAGCAACAAACATTTCAGACACTAATAGTGAATAATGTTTTCTGCACGCATCATGTTTTTATATATTTCCAAGCTGCCTATGCTTGGAAATATATAAGTACCCATTAAGTTTAAAAACTATGTAGAACACAATAAATGAAAACAAAGTGAAATACAAATAAAAGTATACATATAAATACAAATAGTGCCAAAAAAATTTACTTGATATAGTTCAGCATAGGCAGCTTGGAAATATATAAAAACATGATGCGTGCAGAAAACATTATTCAGTATTAGTGTCTGAAATGTTTGTTGCTGCACCTGAAGGAAAATAATGGAGGATTTCATTAATGGCATTTATTGTGTTATTTGGCATGATCTGGACACTTTAAAATATATTCTGTTTTCCCTTTATGGAACCTGAACCGCCTTCTTATACCAAAACTAGAATTTTCTGTGTATGTTCTTGAAAAATTTTTTACATTGAACCCACTTTAGTACTTCAATTCGCAGGTCGAATCCAAAAAAGAAATGTTTTTTAACTTGTTTTATTATCATGTTCCTGTCTTTAATTGTATGGAAAACCCTGGTTAATGTATAGATGTATGCTCTTTCAACTATCTCAGATCACAGAAACAGGAAATAATTTTTTTTTTTTGAAAATTAAAAGCTTAAAAACATCTTAAAAACTTTTAAACACTTCATCTTCAACTGCCTAAAATATACTCATATCAATAGGATATTACAATGCATGGATTGAATAAATTTTTGCTTTTTATAAATAGTGAGAATGGAAATTAACTAAATACTTTGGTTATAGTATTCACCCTGTGTTTAAAACAAGGAACCATGAGGCATCACTGACCAAGAAAATTCCATTGATTCAGTTGCATATATCTTCTCTGCTGACCAATGTATTTTAGTAGCTCTTGCATGGTTAAACCACTTTTCAGTATCATTTTCTTCACAAAAACAGTAAGTGAAAGACCAAAAGTGAAATGAAATATTAAACAGTGCAGACATAAAAGCGAATTATCAGATATCATTTTTGATTGTGATGTAGCAATGGATGAAAAGCTTGTAAAATTCTACAATTTTTTGTTGCAAATTAAACATAAGTTTCAGATCAGAAAATCAATGCTAGAAATGTGATCATTTCTAATCAGTTGTTAAAAGTAACATGATGGATAAAACTCGCACTTTGATCAATGACACATAAGGCAATCAGTTTGAGAATTGGGGTTTTCTCATTCCATTCGGACAAGAGTATGCGAGAGTAAAGTGATAGCAGAAAAAGTGAGTAAATGAGCAAATTACAAGGGACAAATAACCTTGAATGACCGCAATTTTTGATAGTCAGCCATGTTATACCTAGCCACTAACAAACCTTAGCTCAAGTGACCACCCAACTGAATGGCATGTCCAGTTGGACATACTGTAGCTTCACTGTGTATTGCTTAACTTCTTCAGAATCTGAAAACAAATGAGAGTACAATTTCTCCCTGCATACCACAGCTCTCATTAACTTGCATGAGCCATAGAGCATCAGTGGCTAGATCATTGATAATCGGAAGTAGGTTGGAACTGAACAAGGGTTATGGCAACTCAGTGTTTGTCTGGGTTGTTTTATTTTGACTACCTTTACACACCCTCACTTCATCAAAAGTAGATCTGCTATGAAATCACTTAAATTCCTTTGATTCTAAATAATTTTCTGTCATCTAAATTGTAATGAAATGTACCAGCAGGACAACCACTTCTGTCACAGATTCCCATTGGCTTTCACCCAGTTTAAAGAGCCATTCCATTGAATTCTGCTGGCTGAAATGGCTACCTAAAAGTGTGGACTTGAATCTTATTCAACATCTTTAGCACATTTGGAAAAAGATATGCAAGCGGGTCATCCAGCATCCTTAACTAATTTATAGCAAATTCTAAATGTTTAGCAGGCTATATCTCTGAAACACTTTAACTGACTTCTAGAATTTATGGCTTATCATGCGGTTGACATTATCAGCTTCAATGGAATAGCCGCTCATTGCTAATCAGGTATCCTTAATTCAGTGGCTCTTCCATATATAATGCAACATGCCTTGTAATTTCCATGAAAAAATTCTAAAAAAGTGTTCTAAGAGATTGTTCAGCATGAAAGTATAACGAAAGAAAATTAGATCTGAGATTTACATATACATATGATATCAGATTTGCATACATAGTACATATGCATATGTTCTTTGAAAATTAGATTTCACTAAAATATTTCTTTGACCAACAGTGTAATTTCTGACTGATAGTGTTGTAGCTTCTTTTAGAATTTTGTATTAATTGTGAGCCAGCCCATATAACTGTAGATTAGCAGACAGTTGTTATAAATGAGGTGTTGAATACACCTTTAGATATTATAAATGAATGCTTATAAAGCCTAAAATTGAGGTCATTTTAAAGATTTGTTACGAGAACTAAATAATGAAATTTGAAATTGAGCAAAAATGCGACCTTAGGTTAATGTACATTTTAAATAAAACTATCTATTTTTAGAGCAAGCAGATACCAATACTACTTACCTCTCTTCTTCAGGAGCAGTCTTACAACAGTAGGAGAATGAAAATCATTTTATATGGAAAACAATGTGTAGAGCAAAGCAAAAGCAGAAGTAATGCCAGTTGTCAAGGAAAAATAGTAAGGAAAAATGAAAAGTTAAAATATTAGAACTATGAAGACATTGGAAAGAACAAGATTGGAATTAATGTTAGTAACTAAACATGATTATTTTTCTGAATTTAAAATGCTTCAAGGAAATCCAGTACTCCAACTGAAGAAATTTTGTGGATAATTTTCATAAAACTAAAGTAAAAACTGATTAACAATCTAACTATAATTAGCCATCAAAAATCTGTTTATTGGCCCATTTAGAATGTGATATTTTAGCATCCTTTCAGTTTTTCTAATATAAGTCAAACCACACTTAAAAAAAAAAAAATTGGTATAAATTATCCAAGAAATAAAATCGGGTATGGGTTCTTTAAAAATCGAACAGCGAATTTTATTGGTAGACCATAAAATGACCTGAAAGTTGAACTTGTGGAACATGTCAGCACTTTAGTAATGGATGATCATATGATTATTATATTTCTTTCTAATTTCAGAATTCTTTTATAATGGCAGAAGAAAAAAAGTTTTTAAATGCTTTATCAATTTTCATTGGAGAAAGTTTTCTGTCAGTAGCAACTGATTTCAAATAACTGAGTTCCTGAAAAAGCTAAGATTCTAAAAACCTTGAGAGCACATACGTAAGAGCAAAAGGAAACAATTTAAATATTTGAGCTGAAAATCAAATTCATTGTGGATAATTAAAATGTCAAAGAAAGAAACAGAGTTTATCTGGTTCAGTTTAAAATATAAATGGGATAGCTGAGTCAACTAAATTCATGATAGGTAGAAGTATTATATCATGTTTATTACCATAAAATGTGCTAAAATATCAGTATACTAAATTCAGAGTTGAAAGAGAGTTTTATAATTTGATCTCACTGAGACTACTTTATTTCCACCTTATTATTATTATTTTTTTTCATTCTCATTCTTGAATTGCTTTTTAATTTGAGAAGAGAGGTATACTATACTACGTAGATCTGTAATGTGAACCTGCAATATCATTACATTAAATCTTGAATATCTGAAGAAAAGTTAGATCTTAGTCTTATAACCATTAAAATTTCTTTAATTTTGTTGTTTTCTAATTTTATTGTAAAGGACTAATTTGTGTTTAGACTGTCATATGATCATTGATAAAGCACTTTATACTATTACATATATATTACCATAAACAATTTTTCTTATAGAATATTTGGTTTCCCTGCACATTACACAGATACAGGAAATCTCAGTAATATCAAGAGAAGAGAACTTATAGGTCGATCATGGAGTGTTCCAGTCATTAGAAGTATATTTCAACCACTTACAAACTTTTTTAAATGTAAAAAAGATAACATAAATTGATTCATAAATTATCTTTATACATTTTGTCTCTCATACAGGTATCTGTTTTCTGTAGCAGATCTTGAATAGAGCAGATAAGATTAGTTTAAAACCTTGCTGCTTCATTATTTGCAAGAACCATGCTTATTGTTGTGTACATATTTAACATTATCTTAAATTTTGATTGCATTTAAATAATTTAGGGCATTATGTGATGTTTAAAAATTTTTATATTCTGTTTACACTAGTTACATACTTTTTACATCTGTTACTTTAAAACATTGTCATTGAAATGTTTTTGCTTCCAAGCATAGTACAGTGTTTATAAAATAAACATATTTTTTTTATTTGACAGGTTATGGTGTGGTATTTGTGTAATAGGCTGACTTACATGTATCTCTTTTGGTTTAGATCTTTTAATTGATCTGTCTTAAATTCTTTTAATGATGTAAGATTGGATGACATGTAATGGCAAAATCATTGAGAAAAATTGTACCTCATGTTGCTAATACAAAATATTCCGCATTTGCCTTTCATAAGAGATTGCAAGTGTTAAATCTTGTGTGATATATTCTAGTTCCTGTGTCATTAAGATGCCATTTCAAGAGTATGTGCATTAAATGTTATATGTATATAATTCCCATATTTGTTATACATTGAATATAGTATGGAGGATTTGTGGTTTTTGTAATTTATCCTTATTTGTGTGTATAAAATCTATGCATTTTATGTTTTTACTTAAATGTAAAACTAGTCAAATTTTATTTTATATTCATATTATTTATTTTGATAAAATATTTAAATGGAGAGTTATGCTTTGCTTTAATGCTTGGAATATCTTTATTCTTAGCATTTAGTACAGAATATGGTACTTTACAGTTTTTTAATATGTTATCATATGTATGAGACACTAACATTCTTCATTTCTGTATAATTTGTGAAAAAGTTCTTTTCCTAAGTTACAAATTTTTTTGTATCGTTAAGAAATATTTTGTGTTTTTTTCTTTTCATCTATGACTAATTTGCACTTGCTAGCAGCAGCTGTTTATTAAGTGCATTCTACATGTGTGAAATGAAAAATAGAATATATAATCCATATAATCTCTAAAGCAGTTAAAATAATTCTAGTTAATTTAGAGTTTAGAGACTATGAAATAATATAAAAGTAGGAGTTTTACCTTAAAGCAAGTGTATTAGAAATAACTTACAGATGGGTGTGTTGAGTTCAAACTATCATCACTGCTTTATAGGAGTGCTCAAAATTATTGCAAAGTAAAATAATTATTTTTCTTGCTTGTAGACAAGTTTCTGTAATATATTTGATAAAATTTCAGTGCAATCATCATATGAATATTTTATCATTAATTAGACCTTTGAGATCAGTAATCTTCATTCTCACTTTCATTATTAAGCATTTCATTAAACATTATAAAGGCTTGATCACCCTTTATAATGTAGATGTAGTTTTATAATTACCCCTTTATAATGTTAACCCCTGCAACTTCTTGCAATGCCTTCAGCTGCAGGGTAATTACGTTTTTCATCATATAAATTATTGGTTATATAAATGCAGTGAGAAATGTGCATGAAGGTTGTATGACTTTGAAAGTGAGGAATTTTTAATTTTTTCACAGGCACAGAATGCTATTTTTGCCTAGAATGTAAAGTGCCTTTATGGGTACTGTCATGTTTCAAGATTTACTACACGGTTTCTAACTTGAACTAAAATTTTTGTGCAGTTTTCATATTTTATTTCTTTTGAGTCATTTCTTTCATATTTTCTCTATATAGATAAATATTTAATTTATGATTATTAAAATTTAAAATTATTTCGAATTTGTGTTCATTTTTAAGAAAAACACACGAGTTAAAATAAATATTTACCATTTATTTTGCATCATAAAAATATCCAAAAATTCAAAAATGTTGGAAAAATATTTGTAGAATCTTAGTTGTACTAATTATATGTCATAAAAAAGAAGTTGATAATTTTTGTACAGAAAAGGATCCTTCTTCCAGAATAATTCTGAAATATCAGAATTATTAAATATCAGAAATATCAGAATTATTCTTAGCAAATCTGCCTTTCATCCACATATTTACATTCTGTGATACATATTGTCATTTTTATAATTTAAATCCTAGTATTCATAATTAAAACAAAAATTAAAAGTGCAAATTTAGTTATAATGGTTTATTGAATTATGGCAAAGCACTCAAGATTATCTTCCGTTGTGGAGGACTTGCTAAGGAAAATTGGTTTGTATACACATTACATATTTGGCAAACCACGAAACCATCTGCTCACTGGGATTTGAACCCCAAACCAAACTACTAGTCTCTTGCGACATCACAACCTGACTGCTGGTGGGCTTCCATTAGTAATAATAAGTATATTTACATATATAAATTATTTATATATGCTAATAAAGCAAAAAATTAAGAATTTGAATATCCGTTCCTATTATTTCCCATTTTCATATTTATATACAAAATTTTAAGACACTTGCACTAGGTAAAACATTTCTAAACTCTTGAGTGTGGTTTGTAAGCATTATGCGTTTTAGATTTGTAAAATAAAATAGTAACTAACACTCATAATAACTAAGTTAAAGCTCAAGACATTCCATTCTTTTAAGTTACATGACACTCTGACATCATTTATACTCATTTAAAATGTCAAATAAAACGTTCCGTCTCAGAGTATCAGATATGTTATTGTGGACTGCTAGTCATTCTTTGCTTCCATATCACATTTGAGCCAATGTACCTACAGTGGGGAGTTGAAATGTGCATATGTGATACGCTTGGAGGCAAGAGGTTAAAGCAAAAAGACCTGCATTCCTCAGAACTCGCCCAAAAAGGTAAAGAGAAATGATCATAGCCACAATGAAACCAGTATGCAAACAAACATTTTTTGAATGACAACATTGCACTCCAAGCAACTGCAGATGATTTTGGTCATCTGTCATCTCAGAGAGGTAATGTTCTTTATTTGTGTAATCAGAAATACGTGCCACTTCATGTGTAGTCTCTCATCCTAGATAGTTGGTTACAACTAAAGGGTCAAGTTACATGAGTAATTTTAAAATATGTTGTTCGGAAATTAAAAATCTAGAGTCTAATAAAATTTAAAAAATTAGAATAATATTATTATAAACTTTGAACTGTTTAAGTAAAATCTTAAATAAATTAACTTTGCTATATTGAGAAATTTTTCTGTATTTAGTGAAGACCATTTTGTGATAACCGTCTCTATGACAACCACCTCTGAAAAAGACTGTAGTTTCAAAGAGCTTAAAAGTAGTATTGAGCATCCCTTTTCTAAGGAAACCACCTCCACTGAAGGTCAAAATCATGAGTGAAAAGGTTGATTAGTTTTACAGAGAAGTTTTCAAACCTTGAACTCTCAATTTTTTTAAAAAAGTATGTACGAGTCTACCCATCTAGAAATACAGAATAGTAAAATGATTAGCTGCTAATAGTCTATAGATAATCAGAAAAAATTAGAAACATCGATTTTACAGTCAGCCGTGAACTTTCTGAAGAATTTGATCCCCTATGACGAACTTTCTGATGAAATGTTAAAATTTCGTCAAATCTCCAAACCAGGGCTTTAACGCCAAATGCATATACCGCATATTTCGTTATATAACATGCATCTGTGATTTCAAACTAATTTTTTTTTAATTTATAGGTATATTCGCTGTATAATGCACACCCTTTTTGTGACAAAGAAGCCTGGAACATAAATGTGCGATGCTGTTATCTTTTGAAGACTTGGGTGGAATTGCATCACTTAGCCACATCCTGAATAGAACAATGTAGTGCTCACATAACATTCAGGTACCATAACATGAATAAGTTCTTAGCTGAGAAAAGAATTTCTCAGTGTTTGCGTGAGATGAGTCTTTCATATTTTTTGAGTTACTCCGCTGGCCTATGTTGGTGGGATAACTGCAAGAATGCTGCTATTTCAAGAAATATTCAAAGATGATAAAAAAAAATGCGTGTTGCTAGGCATCCGAAATCCATAAAGAGATCCAAATAGATCAGAGCCAATGATGACCCTGGAAAGTAAGTACAAACCCTAGTGAATCAGGCATTGGTGAGTGGGAGGAGCTAAGGTGAGTGTTATCTTTTGAAGTTGTTCATTCAAAGATTTATCACGGGTTTTCGAACACTGGTATATTGAATTGACAAGCAATAAAGGGCACATTATGTGCCGGAATATACAGTATTTTCAACTTCCTATTCGCACTGATTTAAAAATTAACTTTTAATAATGTATATGGTACAATGAATGCTGGGCATTTGCTCAGCTTTCTATCTGAACAGTGTTTTATCCAGATACTGGGAGGCTAGAGAACTTTTAAACAGATTTCAGTCTTCATCCTGTTTTAACATCCTTATGTATAACTTTTATCCATCACATTTTTCTTTTGTGTAATTTTTGTTTGTATTTCAGACTTCTGTGTATAAATTATTGTGTATTCTATTGCATTATTTGCATTATTGTTGTATTTTTTATAGTTTTGGGATCTCTGTATGGCATAATTCTGTCCGAATTCACACACTAGGGGGAGGACAGCAAAATCCCTCCAGTAAGTTCAACCTCAGAATGAGGGGAGAAAAGTTAATACAGTTTTATTTGTCACAGCCTCCCCCTCTGGCTCTGATGTCATTCCAACGAGGAACCAGCAATAAGTTTCCTGGGACATCCTCTTCTGCAAAGGGGTTAAAAAGATAATTTGAGTCAAGATAATATCATAAGGCCGAGGAACGACGAGGCATAAATTAATTAAACTTATATTTTTTTCTGTTCTGCAGATCTGCTGACAGCATGATTAGAAATCCATACTCGATCTCCAGTCTTCGACTTGCATCAGCATATTGTTTTTGATGCTCTTGTTTCTCTTTACCTGGTTAACTGTGGTGGCAAATATCTTCAAATATGGGGTAATTTCTGCTACAAAAGTATCACTGGAGATAACATGCCTATGATCATGTGTAACATCATTTGACGTATGTAACTGTTTTTCAGATTAGAGAAATGCAGCAGTTTGGCCACTGGTTTCGCATATATCAGTAAACGAATTGTCGGAAGCTTTTCTGCCCAAGCAGAATACTTATCACCCAGATGTATGGGTAATCTAGGTTTCAAATCCCTCTTCCTTCGCTCTACAGGATTTGCTTGAGGGTGATATACTGGAGTGAATACTTGGTTAATATTATGAAGAAAACACACTTGCTGCCTGACAGCACTAAAGAATTCAATTTCATTAGGTTTCGAGGCAATCCATATGATAAGAAATATTTTTCAGTTAATGTGATTCTGCATTCCTTTGCAGTAGTAGTGGGTAAAGCAAAAAGCTCCACATATTTCATGTTGCTATCTTCAACAATAAAAATCCATTCTTCTCATTGGTACTTTCAGGTAGTGGACCAAATAAATCAAAAGCAAGCATTTGGGAGCATTGGCCATCATTCGGAGGGTGGACGTGGCGAGTGAAGGAAGGCGTGAGAGATTGATCCTCCACCAAATCTGGTTTCGACAACATGCTAATTCTGAGTAAGATCACATATCATATAATTGCTTTTTCACTGCCTATGCCTGATTGCCTATAAATGCTATTATTTAATATCATTTTAGGTGATATTTTCTGTTTATAAGTTAAAGTGAGAGTGGACTTCCGCCTGCTGGAACACTGATGGGTGGATCCGGTTCTGGGGTGCAGGTTGCATTGCGATTTTGGGCGCTGGATTTTGACAGTTATGGACAGAGTTAGGGTTTTCTTCCATTAGCTAACTGCGGAATGCAAACACGAACAGAGTTTATGCACACTTAATGACAAAAAGTATAAGAATTACAAATTCTTTAAGCAAATGCTAGGAAGTATTGAGGCTTACCTACAGGACTTTGATGAAAATGATCAAACAAATGATAAGGTTCAGGTACCAAGCATACTGCTCACATAAATGAACAGACACTGATTGATACTGAGTTGCATACTCTCATTAATGAGACAAATAGTGATAATGAGTGCTCGAGAAGCCCCGTTACCATAAATGAAAGTCCATATCCAGTTCGGTGGAGAAATCAACCCTCGATAATGATTTTAGCTCTGATGATGAATTTTGATGCTTTAGAAACTTTTCTCAAAGCTTCTGCAAACCCATGAACTACCATTTTAAAATATTGCTCCATGAGCAAGGCCAATTCAGTTGTTAATCAGTTCTGAGCATTTCAAAGAAATTTCTGTTGAAAACATTAGCTGAATTGAGCTTAAGAGATATCGGTAATTTACAATATTTTTTGTGTGCTAAGGAGAATTTGCCGAATAGCCATACATATATATATATAATGGTTAATGAACTGGAACTAGATAATATAATTTATTTTACCTTGATCACACCTGCATAAGCAATTTTCATCATTTATTAATATTATTCAAACTTTCAGCATCTAATAATTAAAATAATAAATTTCCATTCTGGAAACTCAAATTTCTTAATGTAACCATAGTACTACTGATTGCAAGGTTATTCAATTTTTCCTGTCCCTCATTTGAACTAAATAAATTACTTACAGCACAAAATATTTATTATTACATTATTTATATATACTGATAAGCAAAGCATACAAATAAAAGCACTTATTTGTGGAAAAGCTAATTTATTTCTGTTACAAAGAACATTTCCTTAACAATTTTATACATGATTTATTTACAAAATCGAATAACAAGCAGTAAAACACTGGAAAGATGGAATGTAACCGTTTCATATTCATCAATATGATATGAAAATGCATGCAAACACCTGAATATTCTATAACAGCAGTTTTATTAGGATCTGCAATTAAATATTATTTTTAAAAAAGTACTTTTTGGAAGTACGATTTAAATTTGGAGTCCTGATAGGTTTGATAAATAAATTACTTAATATTATGTCGCTCCAAAATGAAAAATGAATAATGTACAATACTTTTATCAAGTTATTTTCTAAACTTGATAAAAGTATTGTAACTTTCTTTCTAAACTCATAAGAGAGAATAATGTACAATACTTTTATCAAGATATTTTCTACATTATAATTATAGTTTTTATGCAAGATCCTATTAAAGCTCTTTTAAAACAAAAATTCAAAAGCATTTGGATTTGAAGCACAAAACAGAAGCATACTATTGGTGGCATTATGATAAAATAGTTACTTATTTGAGAAATGCAGAAAAGAAAGAAAAAATAGTCATAGAACAAGAAAACAAACTGATGTATCCGTTCCCTTAAATTCTTAGTAATTTTAAAATGAAATCATATGTTAATTTTATTGTGTATTGTAAATAATATTAGAAAGTGCAAGAAATTAGATGTAACAAAGCAATACAACAGCTATTTTACTACTTTCGTATTCACCTTCATATTAATTTCAATAATATTTAAAAACCATTTTATTCTTTTCTCACTTAAAATGGTTAAAAACATTATGGAAATAAAACTTTAATGAAAATTTTTAAAAAGCTAATCACATCCAAACTTCGAAGTTATTCAATATCGATAAGGTTTATACAGCTAAAATAGTCATAATTTTAAAGGTAGAATCACTTTATTTATAGTTGCATAGAAGTGCAGCATTTATTGTGCTTAATATTAGTGAAGAACATAAAAGAGTACTTTTCACACTGTTTTTATGAAATACACGCAGCAAAAAATAGCTATTTTGTCATCACAGTTAAAAAATTCACAATGCTAAAATATGAAACATTACCGAAATATTTAAATCACATATAATTATAAATTCCTTCATACCAGTTATATTATTATGATTCCTTAACTTTTTTAATTTTAGAACTTGAATCAGCATATTTCTTTGATATTTCTGTACATTCTTCAAACGTGTAATTATTTCCAGAGTAACCAATAAACTGTTTTGCATTATCAGGAACACTAGCAGACTTCATACTTTTAAAACTTTCAAGTTGATCATTTCCATTAGATAAAAACGTAGTCTTCGGAATATCTTGTAAAAAACGATCTGAATCTCTCTCAGACATTTTGAAGCCCTTCGTAATTACTTCTTTGCTGTTTATAAAAAAATAAGAGATATAAGAAACAGCATTGGGCATAAAAGGCAAAAATATAACAATCAAGCCATACTGCAATAATCATAGGTGCATAATGTACTGCAATAATTATAGCCTTTTTCAAAGGGTTAAAGAGGTAACCCCCCCCCCCGAAAAAAAGAGAGCGAAACAAGTATTTCATTTCATCAAATAATAAATGGTATAACAAAATAAATCGACTTTTAGTTTGAAATTAGGTCACTTTGAAATAAACTGAAAGAGTAAAAGGTCTATGTTAACAGATCTGAAATCTCTAAAGTGTGATATCATACAAGAGTTACCTTGGATGTACTTGCAAGTCATGAATTAAAATTGTTTTTGCATTATTTTTATTTATCTTGCATTATGAAGAGGGAATATTACAAAAGTGAAATTTAATATGCACGATTATAACAGGATATAATGGATTATATACCTGTGATATTCAGTAAGTTGATGAAATATGCAAAAATTCAAAACCCTTGTTAACATTGCCAAAGTTTTGCTCCAAAAACTGCTTTAGCATATTCTAAATAAGTAAAGTTTCAAATAATTTTGTGTTGAATCAGTATGCATTGTTACATAAGATAGGTTTTACATAGCTTGTTCCAGGTATACATGCAAAACGAAAACAAATTTTATTATTTGGAACTAATATTGTATTTTAATTGAATTTTAGAATTTGCCAATAAGTTATTATTTGCTTCTGGCAGAGCTAATTGTTAGACCTGTTTTATTGCTATTGTACCCTTAACCACTTGCGCTAAAAAGACGTGCGACGCACGTCGAGATGCTTTTGTCTCAAACCGCGAGCAACATGAACACCACGTCGATAGGCATTTATCGCAAAAATGAAAATAATGTGGTGCACACGTCGCCTAACAACGAGATTGTTTATTTCTCGAGTTACAGCTCTGGATTGCACTCGACGCGGAGCGGCATAAATGAGACACTTTACCGCTTGTTATATTGTAGTGCACGGCACCGCAAATGTGAAGTTTAGTCGTAGCGCAAGTGGTTAAAAGCCCTACTGAACTTCAAGTTTTCTTTAAATTAAAGCTCGATTTAAAACCAATATTACCTTTTAACTTTTTTTTTAGAATTTAGAATTTTCTTTAGAAATTTTGTAAGAATCATCCAAGAGAGTGTTATACAGTTATTGACTAAAAAATTAAAAAAAAAAAAAAAAAAAAAAAAAAAAAAAAAAAAAAGAGAGAAATTTTCAGTTTCTCTTATATGGAAAGGGGGAAGATAAGGAATGATTACATCAACCATGGCAACAAGATTGATATTTAACATAATGCACCAAAGAAATGCTATAAAATAAAGCATTTGTACTACAGTCAAAAGTCGTTAACCCGGACTTGTCGAGATCTCGACGATTCCGGATTATAGATCATCAGTTTAAATCTGGTAAGATTTCATGCAGAAATTATAAAATTAAAAATATGAAACCGTAAAGAACAATTATGATCTAAAGGGTATCAAAATTTACAAAAAAAAAGCTTAATATTTATTTGTTTACTTTATTAAACATTTCTTTCAATGTAAGTTGTTTAAGTTGCTTCATTTCATATGATAATACTTTCTCTTTAATTCAATAAACAGAAATAATTTCTTCTTCAGTTACAAAGTTCCGCTGTTCAGGTCCTATAATTGCTGTGTCGAGAATACCGACTAATTTGTCAACCGAAATTTTTTCGTTTTCAATAACCTTTGTGTCACTTTCTTCACTATCGGAAGCGAATTATAATGACGAGGAATTTGATTTAAATCATATCAAAGACGGAGTACATCGAGATGAAATACTACATTTGGTAAGGAATTATAAACCAAATAAAAACATCTACGCTGAAGATGAGGATAGTGCTGACAGATCAACTTCCAATTCATTGTGTGCTGCAGCGTCCCCCCCCCACCACAGACCAGCGTGAAATTGATAAACAGATTTCGGAATGGTTAGAGAAACGAAAGATATGCCTTTATCCATTTTTTGCAGCAATTCCACATTTTGTTTAATGGACTTCAAAACGTACTTTTGCTCTGTAGAGTAAATATATATCGGAAATTTTATTTGACATAATCGAAAGTTCAAGCTTACATTTATAAAATTGCTCTAACAGTCTGCAAAAAATAATAAGCCGGATCCAATTCGAAGATTAAGGTACAACGCAATCTGCAACATTAACTGAATTAGATAATTTTAGCTTTGCTTATACCGTCTGTTATACACTAAACCGGTATGCTTAAACGTATTATGCGCATGTGCACACGCATATTCGCAGCCGTAAAGGTCTTACGCAACGCATGTGCAGAAAGTTTGTAGCTTTGAGGTCCGGATTATGGGTGTCCGAATTAACGACTTTTGACTGTATTGTGTTTTAAATTAAATTTCACAAAAGTTCTTTATCTCCGCAACAGTTTCATTGTTAGTATGTACTTTCAATTATAAAAATGTTTTAAATCATTAGTTAACGGGGTTGGTACCACCCCAAAGGGGGCAGTGGAAGGCTGCTGAGGGCCGATGAACTTGTTTTGGGCGGTAGAGGGTGATGAGCATGTTTTTACATTCGAACTTAATTTTAAAACTCTAAAAAAAACTAATAAATCGATTATCTAATTTACACCATTTGTACTAGCAATAAAAGGGACTTGCATGACGGCTCCCCTCATGCAATTATAAGAATGGTGAAATGAATCTGCAAAAAATTCATTTTGACAAACAAAATAAAGGTTTGTCAGTTTTCTTGAAAATCAAGAGCCTAGTTTCTGAAAACATCGTCTGTTCCAAGCTTTATTAGCAACCTCATCAAAAAATGCAATGATGGTTGATAGCCTTTTATAATATATAAAAATTAATTGCTAAATCGGGGAAAGTCACCATGGACGAAATGTTGTTTCTGCTGTCTGTCAAGGAAGTTTTACACCATCCAGCCGCATCTAATGTTATAAAAAATGTCCTATTAAGCAATGACACAGTGGAACGATGAACTGATGACTTCACAGAAGATGTTGAAGCTTCCTTATACAAACATTTGACACCCACCAAATTTTCTCGTTAGGTTGATAATCAACCTCGCCAGGTACTAATGAGGCTTTACTATTAACATATGTTCGGTTTGTGAAGGAAGGAAAAATTATTCAAGTGATGCTTTTTCCAAAACATTTTATTGCACATACTAAAGGTGAATCTAGTTTTAATACTGTCAAATATTATTTTAATGAGAAAAATATTCCTCTTCCGAATATTATGTCTGTTGCCACTGATAGAAATTCTGCAATGGTAGGGTCATCATCATGGGTTCATTGCCTTTTTGAAGAAAAAGGTACTAAGTATTTTAGCTGTTCAATGTTGTGATTCATAGCCAGCAATTAATTATAAGAAACCTCAGTGACCATTTGCAGCAAGCATTACAACATGCCATCTCTTTTGTGAACAAAATTTGCAGTACTGCTCTCAACGATCGATTATTCGGGCAATTGTGTAAGGACAACGATGAAGTTTGCTGGTTTTCTAAAGGCACCAGCCTGAATAGGTTCTGGAATCTTTTCGACTCTATACTTGAGTTCCTTGAAGAGAAAGATGTAGGTCTGAAAAACATATTGCTACACTTTAAGACTGATGTTGCTTACATGACTGATTTATTCGCAAAATTCATTAGAATTAGCTTGCACCTTCAAGGCGAAGAGCTCAGTTTGATCACAGCAAAATCTGTTATTTCTTCTATCTTCCTAAAAAAACTCGCTTTGTGGAAGCAGAATTTTGGTTGAAACGAGTTCAGACAGTTTCCAATCTTGTCTGATCTGCATAAGAGCAGTGAAACATCATTCTGTGAAAAACATGTTTACTGTCAGGGCGCGGAATACAAATCATTCCATCTTAAACAAGACCGTCCTCTCAAAGTGATAATTCGGGGTTTCCCAGTTAAAACTGACGCAGAGGACATAAAATCTGAACTTACTCTAATGGGCTACACTGTGATTAGTGTAACGCAATTACATTGTTACAAGTCCCAGCACCCAATGCCTCTGTTTCTCGTACAGCTAAATCCCACCATCAGCGTGTATGATATTTTTGAAGAGAACCAACTTTTCGGCATCGACATCCAAGTCGACAAACATCGAGGATGAAAAGGAAAGGTTTCCCAGTGCCGGAGATGCCAGGGATATTTTCATTCAAGTGCTGTCTGCACCCTCCCTATCCAGTGCCTGAGATGTGCCGGACCTCACTTTGCCTGGGACTGCCCCAAGCCATTTGAGGAGCCGAACACCTGTGCAAACTGCTCTGGAGGACATGCCGCCAACTGGAACTATTGCCCGAGGAATCCAGCATTCAAAAATCGGAAACAGAGGATACCATCAAACCCAGTCTCGAAACTCCCAGGTGCCGGGAAACAAAATTTCGTACCCGCTCCTACTCCTTTTAGCAGCACGGCCCCCTTATTCTAGCTAACGAGCGAAATAATCCCGGAAGAACGTGCATTCACGCTAGTAAAACAGCAAAAGCACGATCCAACACTGCTCCTGTGGCAGTTCCTGCACCAGAGAAGCCACCAGCCCAGGTTCTAGCCCAACCTGCGGTTCCTGATGACAACTCCTGTACCAATACTCTCAGGAGTGTTTTCCAAATCTCCCGGAAGTTCGGCATTGACCAGAACTTCCTACTAGCAGCATTCCGGAAGGCTCTACCTCAGCTTAGAACTGCCTCTTCAGGACCGGAGAGGGCATTTTTTATATTTGAGAGCTACTGCGCTCTCACATCCTAAGCAGCAACATTCAACGCCTCAAATAGACAAGATCTCCTCATCGGTTTCAGGAATGCAAATGGCGTTCTTCCAAAAATTCATGAATTACGGGATTATATCAGTGAGCATGCTGTGGACCTCTTCCTTGTTCAGGAAACTCATCTGGTTGAGGAACGTAGCACCAATATTCCTAGTTATTACTGCTACCGCAATAATAGAGCGGCTAGCAACAGTG